TGAGATGCGACATCGGAGAACTGGCCAACTTGTTCAGTGAGAAGGAACCCACAGTTGTCGTCGTGGTGGAAACATTCCTAGACCCATCTGTTCAAGACGGAGCGGACCGCATTGCAATACCCGGTTACAACGTGTGCTGCCAAAGAGATAGAGCTGTCTTATCCGGAGGGGGCTTTGCAGTGTACTGCCTACAAGGAATTACCATCCATCATGACTGTCAAAGGAGATCTCACAGATATGGAATTTATATGGTTCACAATCACCTTAGATTCCTGGACTCTACTCATAGTAGCCGTGTACAGATCACCCAGTGCTAACAATGACATATTTGATTATCTGGACACTGAAACCCTGTCAAAAATGACAGAGTTCGATGCACATTCCATCATGCCGATGGGAGACTTCAATGTCCGTCATGAAGACTGGATAGGTAGCCGAATAACAGACTCAGCTGCCCGCCGAGCTCGACAGCTTGCAAGCTGCTTGGGCTTTCAAATGATTGTTGCATTTCTAACAAGAGGTGATCAAATCCTGGACCTTGTCATCACTGACCTTACTGCCGTATCTAGAACGCTTGCCAACCTGTTACCTCAAACCATAACCCAATCCTGGTAAAGCTTGATGTCCGTGTGGACAGAGACATGCCCTGCAAGAGGAAAGTGTGGCAATACAACAACGCCAATTTCTAGGCAATGAGAGGCTTTGTCGCGTCTACAGACTGGTCAAGAGCCCTCTCGGTGAACGACCCTGAGAAGACGTGTGGAGAGGTCACTGACATCATCTGTAATGCTATGGAGCTGCTATAAATCCACAGATATTTTTGTTCAACAAAAAGCCCGGAGGTAAGGCATGGTTTGATGAGAAGTGCAGGGGAGATACAAGGAAGAAAGCGATGCCTCTTACCGCCAGCTCAAGAAAAACAATACTGCCGTTGATGTTTTAACGTCTGATATATGGCTGTTGTTTACAATTGTATCAAATAAAAAAAGAGAGAAAGAACCGCCACAATAAATCTTGCGCAAATTACCCAAATTTGTATTGGCAAAAATGGCGCGCAACAATTACGGTAATTCCAGTAAATAATCGTGGCTTAATACGCCTCATGATGTGTTTAGCAACCAAGCCAATTAATCTTCTTGGTTCTGTCGGTAAAGTCACGTAGAAGGGATGTAATAAAATAATAAAAATAAAACATAAACAGGACCCTGCGGGGTGGGCTGGTAGGAATAATACTTAGTACCGGTACAGGGATATCGACCGGGTATAGAGGAGTTAAAGAAAAAATTACTGTATTCTAGTGTAACGTTAATTAAAAGTGTTTGTTTTGACAAGAAACGCTGTGATATTTAAAGACCCCTCACCACCAGCCCTCACCACCAGCCCCCACCACCACCCCCCACCACCACCCCCCACCACCACCCCCCACCACCAGACTCCGTGTGCCCTTGGTTTATAGAGCTATCTCTAACCTAGGGCTATCTCTACCCAACGAGGCACGACTACTAAATGTCGCATTGCCTCGAATGCCAACCACAATAGTCGCCAACAGGCAGGGGCGGCCCGAGACGAGCTTGCCAGCCTTCGGGAAAATATTGCCCCAAATTTTGCGTTTTATGTTTTTAAGTGTTACTCTTTTAAACAGAGGCATAATTTGTCGGTTTACCCGTCCGTCCAACCAATACATCCTCAGAAATTTTGAGACGTGAATTATGTTTAACACGTGGTAGGCTTTTACGACCAATATCATCCATAATAGAGTTTTTTTTGGGGTTAGATCACGTAAATATATGTGTCGTTAGCACCCTCCACCACCCGACACAGCCAAGAGTTCAACCCATCGGGGTGCTGACAACCCTGACTAGTTGGCTATGTCGGATGGTGGCGGGTTTTAACGACACATACTGTATATTTACACGATCTAACCCCCCAAAAAACTCTATTACAAATGAATTGTGATTCACATTCCCTCTACGCGCACGAGATTTGAAATAATGACATCTTGGGTTATTTTATCTGTATTCTTTATTAGTATTTTCCTCGAATTTGCCCCCCCCCCCCTACTTAACTTAGCGCCCTAGAAGAACTCCGTAGTTCGCCTCTATGCCCCTGCTAGCAGCCCAGTGTTCAGGGCAAACTTGCCAAGCCTGCCGATTTAAAGAGTGGGCGATCCGTTCAGCTCTTTCCAAAGCTACTTAATACAGCAGTCATAGGGGAAGCCTCTCGCAGTTTAACGCGTAATAGGCTTTACACGCCAGAGGCATTTTGGGTTCGATCCCGTAAATGTCGTTAAACACGCTACCACCCGACACAGCCAATTAGTAAGGTTTGTCACGTAAACAAAACATGGCAATTATATACTATCTTGATTTGAAGCTTTCGTGACTACAGGGATCCATACTCTTTGGTTCTTTCGGTAAAGTCACGGAGGTATAAAATAAAATAATTCACGACGTTTCGGGCGCAACACAAGCATCCGTCATCAGGTGCTTTCCCACCACTTTACCAATTCGATACTAGTTCAGCACACCGGTGTGTTGCAGAGAAAACGCACGCCGTTTACAATTCGTGTAGGACGATAGGTCGGTTTGACATGCGTGCGCTGGTACTAATGAACTCTGCCACGCATCTCCAACCCGAATTGTACCGGGCGTGACCCCGTACACATCCCGTGATTCGGCATCTGCTGCGGCGTTCGGGTGCCAGCGGGAATTGTGATGTGTGACGAGATCTGGCCACGCCGTACCGCCGGTACTGAGTAGGAAGCTCCGTTCCAGCGGGGAGAACGCACAGCTCCGAGAACGGGCCCCGTGCTCAGCGAGGTGCACGGCCTAGTTTGTTGGACGGTGGGAAAGGTGGCCACGTTGAACCGATTTCTCTCACGGACCCGAGCTCTAGCCCCCCGCCTAGCCCGTGTGACTGGTGGTGTCTCCGCGTGTGACTGGTGGTGAATGTTGTATATATACTGTAGGCATTTTTCCAAAAATTGATATTAAAAATAATTCTGGCAATATTTTTTTAAAAATAATAATAATCGATCAAAAAAACACCCTCAAACCCGCTACCTCCCACAAGCACCAAGCATCTGGAGGTCGTAAAAGTCCATTAAATAATAAACTCCGGGGCAAAGGAAGGTTAACGACGATCTGCAAAATCTCCAGATTGTCAAAGGACCACATGCCATGACCTCCCCGGACGGTTTGGACAGTTCACAACCATATCTCCAGAGCCATGAAACACAGACATATAGCCTAGACCAGGGGTCGGCAACCTACGGCTCCGGAGCCGCATGCGGCTCTTTACGGGCTGCTTCTTGACGATATGTACGTATGTACAGTATGTACATAGATGCTTTGCGGCTCTTGAAATACTGAATTTTGTACCGAATTGGAAAGAAATGGCTCTTCTTGTTATTTTGGTTGCCGACCCCTGCCCTAGACAATCGTACATTATAACCAGCGGTTTTTTTTCTTCCTCTCTTCTCTCCGGTAAAAAGTCTAAACTTAGCGACAAGAAAAGATCGACATTATAGACTACCAGATTAAGAGCCAGACTGCAGTCTACATTTGTGGCTTTATTATCAATTTCCTTATTTGACTCTTATTCACCGCACATATATATTTAATTATTTTATTTTATTGTATCGTTCTATCTACGTGACTTTACCAAGACAACTAAGGAATATGAATTCTGGGCAGTCAAGAAAGCTTAAATGGAACCTTACATCTCCGACCTCAGGATATTAAAATATAACTCGAGAATAAAAAGCACGGATCCCTGGATACAGACAGGGGGAAAAAGTAAATAAAACCCTTCAATACCGGAGGTAACATCTAATGACATTACGAATCTTGGTTAAACATAAACCAGATAATAACCACGAGATATTAGACCGGGGGTAACTCATAAGAGATACAAGAAATAGGTCAAACACACAAGACTAGATAATATGTATTCCATGAAATCAGAGCCTCCCCGGCCACCTTTGTCTTCCAACAATTTGACACAAACACATGGTAGCCATAAAATACGTATGAAGGGTGTCTGGCCTCAAGATAACAAACACTATGAAGAGGTGGGGGGGGGGGGAATGCAAACAAAAACATAGCCAGTCAAAGGTCAAAAAGGGGGGTAGGGGGGCAGCCAGGCCGCTGCGGCCACGGGAAGAGAACGAGACAGAGGGCATCTGTTGTTTTTTCGCAAGAGACGCGCAAAGACGGGAGAGAATTTCACATTTAAGCACGGACACAGATCATGCAATTCAGTCCGGCAAAGGGGCAGACTCCGGGTCATGGCCTCGAGATCAACCATGGGTGTCGTGTCTCGCAGAGAGAAGGGACGATCTGTTGTTAAGAGCTGAGTTCGGCACGAACCGACAGAGTATCGCTGAAAGTTTTATTCTACATTTATCCTGATGTTTTGAGCCGCTTGCGGAATCGAGGATTGCGATGAGTTGCATTGTACTAAGCTATCAGAGTTGTGTAAGAGGTGTGCTCATACAATTGTAGTGGTGTTAACTACTCGCTGTTCGCAAACTGTGAGAGAGCGGATCGTAAACAAGGGTTCCCCGCTCAATCAAACGGTCAGGGTCAAATGGGGGTGAGGTAGCATCCAGACGCCAGATTGGGAAGGACCAATCGGAGGGTTCCGCAAGGTGGCCGGGGATTGGACAACCCGGCCACGAACAGGTATACAAGCCAGAGCGCTGAGAGCTCTGGAGGAGTTCTGCTACACGAAGACCCAAGTCGGCCGAAGACATCTAGGACCCTGGACCAAGCCCTCCAGCCCTTATCAGGGCTAGGGCTCAGAGTCACCAGTGGTCGGGGGGAGATCCCCTAGGTCCAGCCAGAGGACGCTGGGAGAGCAGGGAGATTAGACAGCCTGCAAGGTCCGGAGGCTGTACCTGCTGAGGGTAACGGGTGAGGGGACCATATACCCCCTTAGTGTGATAGGGACTGTGTATTAAGATAATAAACAGTGTGTGCCATAAAGAAGTTTAGAAGTCCGTCCTTTACAACACAACACAATTTACACGTTTTGAGAGTGAGTGACCCAGCCAGCGACGAGCAGCTCACAGCAAGAGCCCTCTTGGAATAAGGGCGGAGAGCACGGAAGTTGAGCAACGACACGAGGCGAAGCCCTGATGGAAGGATGGAAGAGGCAACACTGAATGCCAGTGCAAAACTGGCAGCTGCCCGCCAAAGGAGAGAACGGAGCAGTGGAAAGAGCCCGAGCCAGCGCAGCCCTGAAGTGAAGGCGGGAGAGGCACCAGCGGATGTCCGTGTGAAGCTGGCAGCTGCACGATCAAGGAGAGAGCACGGAGAAAATGAGAGAGAAAGAGTGACGAGCGACGACAAGCAATCAACCTGGAGAAAGGGCGGAAAGCGCCAAGCATCGACCAAGCGAGCATCGCAGAGGACCAGCAGCAGCAGCGGATGAGCGACGAGAGCCATCGTGCATCGCCAGAGAGAACGGAGCAGTGGAAAGAGCCTGAGCCAACGCAGCCCTGAAGTAAGGGCGGGCGTCCGTGCGAAGCTGGCAGCTGCGCGATCAAGGAGAGAGCACGGATCAGGGGAAAGAGCCTGACCAGCCGCCCGTGAGCGCCGGCGAGAGCGCCGTGGGTTCGAGCCACACACACACCGACAAGCACCAGCTGGGAACCAGCTGGGAACCACGACAAGAGTGAGGGACGGCGAGTAGCAGACGAGCCGCGAGCGCTCTCTGACGACGGAATCATCGCGCACCGCCGACGGCGAGCATCGCGCCAACTCAACCAGCAGTGGAGAGAGCTGCAGCGCAAAAAGGAAGAGTGTTGGCGCAGGCAAGAGCGCCGTGTGTTTAATATACACACACACACAGGTACACACACAGGTACACACACACACGTACACACACACAGACACACACACAGGTACACACAGGTACACACACAGACACACACACAGGTACACACACACACAGACACACACACAGGTACACACACACAGACACACACACAGGTACACACACAGGTACACACACACAGACACACACGTATACACAGGTACACACACGTACACACAGGTACACACACACACGTACACACAGGTACACACAGACATACACACAGGTACACACACACAGGTACACACACAGGTACACACAGGTACACACACAGGTACACACACACACAGACACACAGGTACACACACACAGACACACAGGTACACACACACGTACACACAGGTACACACACACGTACACACAGGTACACAAACACGTACACACAGGTACACACACACACACGTACACACACGTACACACACACACGCCGTCCCAGCGGCCCTGCTGGGAACCCGCGGTATTTTCAGCACAAGGAACGCCGTACCGCGTAAGCCGCCAAGTCAACAAGTGGCAAAGAAGACACGCACACAACACGCATATCGGGACTAATAAGATTGTTCCAAAAAGTTGTCTTTGTGTTTCAAGAAGGGTTGCCATTCCAAGGTGGTGCGTTAAATATCAACTGATCGTGGAAAGCATCGCTGCCCGTCGAGTTACATGAATACGATTGTTAGAAGTATTTTAGGTATTCGTTTTCGTTAATTGCATAATCTTGCCAATAAATTAATTGATAATTACTTTTGCCTTTCGGGACATGTTTATTTATTGCCGTTCATATGAGTATCGTCACATTAATTTTTAAGGACTTTTTCTTATCGCCGTGGATGCTCGCTTTACGCTGAGGAATAGTCGATTGTTCTATTACCCAGTTTAACAAACGTAATCATCGAGGGTTAAATGTACGGATCAATGAGGAGAACATCTCCAAAAGTACTGTGTTGACAATTCCAAACATAAGAGTTCGTATATTAGAGTGTTATTTTTTTTTAGATTAAAGTTGCTTAACACAGAAATGTCTGAGTGGTGCCTTCCTGAGTTCATGCATAATAATCTTAATTATGAGAACTGTATCCTGCGGTGAGATTTGAATTTGGAGACCTGACATAAAAACACTAAGACATAATCAGTAAATGTTAAAGCGAGAATAATTGTATTATCCCGATTGATAATACGACCCTAGGCAACGAAGCTGAGCCTAATTATCATAATTGCATACAATAGCATAATTACATACACTCGCAGAACTTAACACAATCACACAGCCCTAATCAGCATAATTTACGCGCATAATTACATACATTAACATAATTTCGTATAATAACGCATTTTCCAATTTTAATTTAATTGCATTACTTTTATACATTTTCCAAGACCCAGCATATGCAACATGTCCCTGTGACTGGCGGTGTCTCCCGTGGGGCTGGGCTCGCAGAACCATGCGCTCCGCCAAGGCGCTGCACGGAGTGCTGAGCAAGTCCCGGGGGACCGCGGGACTCGAGTCCCACTCCGACTCCACGAGTCGCCTCGGCCACCCTCGGCCGCTCCACTCCACTCGGCTCGCGCTGCCTCGGGACGAGGTGGGGAGACGACGAGGAGGGGGGGGAACCACCGCGGGGGACCACCCGGAGGGAGACGGAGTCACCGCCCGGAGGCCGAGGGGCGTGCGGGATCTTCCCGGGCCCGGCTTCGCCTCGAACCTGGTGGAGTTCTTCTGGAAAGATGGCTTCAGCCGCATCCACGACATACAGGTGAGTGATGTCACCCGAGTTCAATTCCTTTGCACGGTCGACGTTCTCAGGAACGAATTAACTGAGCCGCTGCTGGGCCCTCCTCGAGGTAGACTCAGCCTTAAAAGAGTATCGTCTGCTGCTGCGCGGTGTGCGCGGACATCAGTACTGGGGAGACAAAGGCGGCTAGGCGTTGTGTGATTGAGACACCGCAATGTTGAACGTGTTGCGGTGGAAATTGCGGTGCGACCTCTGTGTGTGTATCCTGCGTGCCCCTTCCCTGACGCGGCGACGTCACTTCCCTTATACACGGGTACATGGCTCCCTCGCTCCGTGTGTGTAGTCGGAGTAGTAGATGCGTTTAAAAAAAAGAGATCGACCGCATAGAGTTAATGAATCTTTATTTGTTCTGCAAGTACAGAAACTCACAACACCAACGATGCAATAATAGACATGCGAAATACAATAACAAAGTTATGGGAAACTGATATTGCAATAAATGTGATATCTTGGCGACACTAACACAGATGTATTAAACACATCGGGTGCTGCTGCTGCAGTAGCGTACAAGCACAGTTTGTGGCCTTAAGTAACATATATTAATAACAGATATTAAACAGATGAAACGTTTTAGCCATTGCACACCACAGGAAGGGGAGTGAAGAGAGACAGTGAGGACACGGATGGATATGAGCAGCGGGTAGCGTGAAGGAGCGCCAGGCAGGGGAGGAGGAGGAGGGGGAGCAGGAATGACCGGGTCAAGATGTCTGGGATGAGAGGGAGGCGGTGGTGATGATGCTGATGAGAGGATGGTGATGATGAGATGGTGGTGATGATAATAGTGTGGTGGTGATGAGAGGATGGTGGTGATGATGAGGGTGGTGGTGATGATGAGAGGGTGGTGATGATGAGAGGGTGGTGGTAATGACAGGGTGGTGATGATGATGAGAGGGTGGTGATGATGAAATGGTGGTGATGATGATAGTGTGGTGGTGATGATGAGAGGGTGGTGGTGATGATAGTGTGGTGGTGATGAGAGGGTGGTGATTATGAGAGGGTGGTGGTGATGACAGGGTGGTGATGATGATGAGAGGGTGGTGATGATGAAATGGTGGTGATGATGAGAGGGTGGTGGTGATGATGAGAGGGTGGTGGTGATGATGAGAGGGTGGTGATGATGATGAGGGTGGTGGTGATGATGAGGGTGGTGATGATGATGAGAGGGTGATGATGGTGAGAGGGTGGTGATGAGAGGGTGGTGGTGATGAGAGGGTGGTGGTGATGACAGGGTGGTGGTGATGACAGGGTGGTGGTGATGATGAGATCGTGGTGGTGGTGATGATGAGATCGTGGTGGTGATGAAGAGGGTGGTGGTGATGAAGAGGGCGGTGATGATGAAGAGGGTGGTGGTGATGAAGAGGGTGGTGATGATGAGAGGGTGGTGGTGATTATGAGGGTGGTGGTGATGATGAGAGGGTGGTGATGATGAGAGGGTGATGATGGTGAGAGGGTGGTGGTGATGAAGAGGGTGGTGGTGATGACAGGGTGGTTATGAAGAGGGTGGTGATGAAGAGGGTGGTGATGATGAAGAGGGTGGTGATGATGACCGGGTGGTGATGATGACCGGGTGGTGATGAAGAGGGTGGTGATGAAGAGGGTGGTGATGATGAAGAGGGTGGTGGTGATGATGATGAGAGGGTGATGATGATGAGAGGGTGATGATGGTGAGAGGGTGGTGGTGATGAAGAGGGTGGTGGTGATGAGAGGGCGGTGACGATGACAGGGTGTTGATGGTGATGAGAGGGTGGTGGTGATGATGAGAGGGTGGTGGTGCTGATGATGAGAGGGTGGTGGTGGTGATGAAGAGGGTGGTGATGATGACAGGGTGGTGATGATGAGAGGGTGGTGGTGATGAAGAGGGTGGTGGTGATGAAGAAGGTGGTGGTGATGATGAGAAGGTGGTGGTGATGAGAGGGTAGTGGTGATGAAGAGGGCGGTGGTGATGATGAGAGGGTGGTGGTGATGAAGAGGGTGGTGGTGACGATGAGAGAGAGGAGATAGAAGGAGCGAGCAGCAGAAGGGAGCTGCACCGAGCGGAGTCTGTTCTCACAGGGGGTGGGGGGAGAGGAGAGGGGAGGGGTTCTGAGTGGGGGTCGCCACACAAAAGTCACGTGATTTACTGGAGGCTTGAGCTGATTAAAATATATATGTGTGGGCAGGCTACAATGTCCAGTCAGTGAAAATCTTGTGAAGAACATTTCAATGTAAACAGCATGTATTGATGGGACGTGCACTCCAGCACTGCTACTCTGACGACCTGAGTTTGATTTCTGGCCCGGGCTAAAATCAGCTCTTCAGGTCACCAATGACTGCACTCGAGAAAACCCATCACGTTCAATTCAGTTCTGCACTTGGCGTCGACACATTTCAACTCGGAGAATACATTTTTTTAATTGTTACGCAAAGAATATCACCGTTAATACAGACTGAGGCCACATCATATGCTGCGTGGCTGCAGTTGTTTGCGCGCGTGCGACTGCACTCGTCACTGTGTGGCCCTCTGCGTGTTTCCTGTCACATTTGCCCCGTGCCTCCCACGTCTCACGTGTCTCCCCGTGCGTCTCCCCGTGCGTCTCTTCGTGTCTCCCCGCGCTGTTTGGACGGCCCCCAGCTGCAGCAGGCTCGTCGCTTTGGCGCCATGTGGGGCACAAGCTTCGGGCCGCAGTTCGTGGTGTCGCTGGCGTCCCCGGGGCTGGTGGCCCACGTGCTGCGCTCAGAGAGCCCCGCGCCGCAGAGGGCCAACATGGCCTCGTGGAACGAGTATCGAGCCCTGCGGGGACGCGCCAACGGCCTCATCTCGGCGTGAGTCGCTCCCCCCGCACCCGCGGAATGCCCGCGTCGGCGGCGGAGCGGAGAACCCCAAGAGCCGCGAGACCTAGCGACGAAATCGACGAGTTGGCGACGGCCGAATGCTCGTTGACTGCATCCGCGCGCTTTCGGATGCGCTTCTGTGGCCGTCTGGAACGCTCTGTCCCTTGCGATGTTAGGGAGCCACTGGAGCTATGCGCTTGTAAATCTAAATTGAAAACGAATTTCAAAAACTCGCTGTTCGCCGATTGGCGTCCTTTGGTCTAACGCCGTTTGAGACTAGGCCCAAAAGAAAGCTGTCTATGGTGTGGATCAATCAGTTTCAAAGACAATGCAAATACTATCAGAGCATTTTTTTGGTTTGCATGTTCACCACAAGTGTCTGGTGAATGAAGACACGATTCTTTGCTAAATGTTTTTGTTTGGTGTTTTAACATCCTAACACCTGTTGTATTGCCAGAGAGGGCAGAACCGACACTGATATCGTTTCTATAGAACGGTTTTTTGGGTGTTTAGTTTGTTGTCCTTCCCCCGCACCGTCGATTTGCCGCGGTCTGTTACGCACGGCGCGAAAGAAAGTTCAAAACACGTGCGTACACGTTGCGCAGGGAGGGCGAGGAGTGGCTGCGCATGCGGGCGGTGCTGCGCCAGCCGCTGATGCGAGCACGCTCCGTGTGGAGGCACTCGGAGCAGATCAACGCCATCGTGGAGGACGTCGTGTCGCGCGTGCGATCCGACCGGGACGAGCGCGACGGCACCGTCCGGAACGTCAACGGGCTCCTCTTCAAGTTCGCCATGGAAGGTGCTGCACCCTCGCCACGGGCACCGCCTGCGTGGGCGCCGCTGCTGCCGACACCGCCACCACCCACTACTGACGGCGCTGCACGAACATTGACGCCACCAACAACAACAATAACACGAATTGGCTGATGGACTAAAACCACAAGTGTTTTTATTCCTACCTGGAGTGTCGTGCTTACGTTGGGCCGGCGGCGGCGACGACGATGACAGTGGTGGCGGTGTGTGTGTGTGCACGTGTGTGTGTGCATGTGTGTGTGCGCGCGTCTGTGTGTGTGTGTGCACGTGTGTGTGTGTGCACGTATGTGTGTCTGTGTTGCGTGTGCGCGTCTGTGTGTGTGTGTGTGCACGTGTGTGTATGCGCGTCTGTGTGCACGTCTGTGTGTGTGTGCGTCTGTGTTGCGTGTGCACGTGTGTGTGTGTGCACGTCTGTGTGTGTGCGCGTCTGTGTGCACGTGTGTGTGTGTGTGTGCACGTGTGTGTGTGCGTGTGCACGTCTGTGTGCACGTGTGTGTGTGCACGTGTGTGTGTGTGTGTGCACGTGTGTGTGTGTGCACGTGTGTGTGTGTGTGCACGTGTGTGTGTGTGCAGGCATGGCGAGCGTGCTATTCGAGAGGCGGCTGGGCTGCCTGGCCCCCGAGGTGCCCGCCGACACGCGCGACTACATCGCCGCGCTGCAGCTCATGTTCAGCATGTTCAAGACCACCATGTACGCCGGCGCCATCCCTCGCTGGCTCCGGCCCGTGCTGCCGGGGCCCTGGGAAGACTTCTGCCGCTCATGGGACGGGCTGTTCCGCTTCAGTGAGTCGCCCAGGGGGGGATTGGGGGGCCTGGGGGCCGTGGGTGGCGCAGGGACTGGGAAGGCGGTGGCGTTGTGGCCACTGTCGCAGTGGTGGTAGGTTTCAAACAAAGCTTAGCCCCCCCCCCAGCTCCCCGCAGTGGTGGTAGGTTTCAAACAAAGCTTAGCCCCCCCCCCCCCCAGCTCCCCGCAGTGGTGGTAGGTTTCACACAAAGCTTAGGCACCCCCAAGTCTCCTGTCTTGTCTGCATGGGTCGTCTCTTGCTTCACCAAGTCTCAGTTGTCTACAGGTCTCTTGCTTCACCAAGTATCTATCTCGTGTCTACGTCTCATCTGCCATCTCACCAGGATTTGATTAATTGAAGGGGCGGGGGGCAGCCCACCAAAGATAATTTCTGATTTGGGCCCCCCAATCAGCCAACACCACCACCGAAGAGGCTTCAGAGACCGTTGTCGAAGTTGGAAAGCGCGGAGAGATGAGAGAGGCACAGTTCGAGAGATCCGGAGATGGAGTGGGCTCCTCCGGCCCTCATGACATCTGCCATGTTGTGTCCATAATATTGAATTGTGCTTACAACCTCAACACCTTAGGATGTCCCCAAACACGTCTTCCATCACACTGAAATGCTTTCTCATTTGTCCACACACATCTTGAGATGGTTTCTCATCATCCCATTAATATGGCGTCTTACCTTGAGATGCCTTTGCATGTCAATAAACGTATTTAGATGGTCCTTAAAAAGTCCATCAGTAAACTTCAGATGAATCTCTCACAGGTCCACACCGACGCCTCTTCCCGGCACACTCCCTCACGGGCCCAACGCCCCCACTCGTGCCCCCCCCCCCTCCCTCACGGGCCCAACGCCCCCCTCGTGCCCCCCCCCTCACGTGCCCAACGCCCCCACTCATGACACCCCCCCCCCCGCTCCCTCACGGGCCCAACACCCCACTCGTGCCCCCCCCCCTCCCTCACGGGCCCAACGCCCCCACTCGTGCCCCCCCTCCTCCCTCACGGGCCCAACGCCCCCCTCGTGCCCCCCCCCTCACGTGCCCAACGCCCCCACTCGTGCTGCCCCCCCCCCCCCCCCCATCAGGCGAGATGCACGTGGACGCGCGAGCGCGGGAGCTCGAGGAGGAGCGGGCGACGGGCGGCGCTGCGCGTGACGCGGGGTTCCTGACCGAGCAGCTCACGTCGGGGGCGCTCTCGCGACAGGAGCTCTACGCCAACGTGACCGAGATGCTCCTGGCGGGCGTGGACACGGTACGGAGCCCACGGCCGCGTGCCACGCCGCGCCGCCTCCGGCCATGCGCCACCAAACCCCGGCGCATAACGAGTGTCCACGGCAGTGAGCGACACGAATATTCGTCGACCGTGGGGTTTTTTAATTTCGCCCGCGACGGGTGTGAGCCGCGTAGCGCGACGAGACGAAAGTGACCATCCTGATTGAGGACGCAGGCCGAGATGACTTTAGTCGCGTCGCTCGGGACTGGGGTGCGCTCACGAACACCAAGCATGGTCAACGGCTACACGGGTAAACAATACGATTGACCGAGTTCACCTATTGGCTGACCAGATAATATGACTCTTTGGTTCTTTCGGTAAAGTCACGTAGAAATAATAGCAAATAAGTAATAGAATGCCACGTTTGCGATTGCAACACAAGCAACCGTCATCAAGTATGAATGAATGCAAGCTCGGAGAGAGACACAGATACAAGAGACAACACAGACACGGAAAGAGAGAGACACACAGAGAGAGAGACACACATACACGGGGGAGAGACACACAGAGAGAGAGACAGACACACAGAAAGACAAACACAGAGAGAGACACACACGCAGAGAGAAACACACAGAGACACACAGAGAAACAACACCTCTGTGACGAGGCATTTATATATAGAGAGAGGGGGGGGTGGAGCAGAGAAATGAGCATTTCAATGAGAGCGGTAGGGGGAGAGAAATTGGAAGTGTGACAAACCTAGTCAAAAATTTTAGAGAGCGGCAGGGGGAGAGAAATTGAAAGTTTGAGAAAACAAACCTAGTAAACTGAGAAATGGAATACAATGCAACACAGAGAGTCGGCTAACACAACAGTTAACACTTTACCTGGTTGATTACGTTCTTCAAAAGATTGCCAAATTTGAATTTAGGTGTCAGTTGTGTGGAAATCCTCCCCGTAGAGGTGTTTCAAACTTGATTTGAAGCTTTCGTGAATGCAGGAATTACTCTTTGGTTCTTTCGGTAGTAAAGTTCTTTCAGATAATATTGTTGGGGGCGGGGGGGAGGGGATTGGGTGCAACAATCACACCAACATCGAATTATTGTATGAACCCAAATTCATCTTCTTGGTTCTTTTGGTAAAGTCACGTAGAATTAAAATAATAAAATAATAAAAATAAAACATAATAAAATAATTCTCATGACGTTTTGGCCACAACGCAAGTAGCCGTCCTCAGGTGGAGAACAGGTCTGTCGAGGAGACAGAGTCTGAATGACAAGCCCCAGGCTTGGAGCGACTATTTAAGCTGAGATGGAGAGACTCGATTAGCTGAGCCTTCTTATCCCTGCAGTCACGAAAGCTTTAAATCGAAATTGAACCCAAATTGTGTTGCATTGCGAGTGCCAACATTCCTTGTCCCACGTGCCTCCCGTGCCTCACGGTGCCCGTGTCTCCACGCATGCCACAGACGTCCTTCACGCTGTCGTGGTGCCTCGATCTGCTGGCGCGCCACCCGCTCACCCAGGAGGCCGTGCTGCGCGAGGTTCGCGAGCGGGGGCCGTCGGGGGGGCGGGCCCCGTCTGCCGAGCACGTGGCGGAGATGCCACTGCTGCGAGGGGTCCTCAAGGAGACGCTCAGGTACGGGGTGAGGGGGGGGGGGAGGCCCTGGGGCCTTCAGCCATGAGGCCCCTTTCCGGACGAGCACCCCGAGCCGCCTCGAGCTCGCCATGCGGAGCTGTTACTCAACTTGTGGTCTTCGGCCAGCTGAGTCACGTCGCCCCACGGCAGTGCCATAATCAGATCATGACGCATCAACGTGTCTCTGCAATCCGGTGTTGGTCTTGCTCTTGGCCGTGCTCTCGTCTCCACGTTCCGGGTTCACCACCCGCCTCGCCCTGCGGCCCTCGCCACGTTAATGGTCTCCTCCTGGTGACCAGGACCATCCCGGTCGTCTCCTGACCTCCTCGCCGGTGACCCTGACCTGGGACGTGGAGCCGATTCATTGACTAGAAATTGTCATCGGCTACTTTGTTTGCGGCCAATCCCTCCGAGGAGGCAGCTGTGTCCTCTCCAGGCCACGCTCGACCTGACGACTCTACCGATGTCGCCAAGCCCCACCCATCACCTCCAGCGGGAAGAGGCGAGGGAGGTTTTTTTTCCCCCAAATTGTTTTGGTATCATCGATGAGTCCAGTAATCGGATCGAGAATCAGTAAAGTAATCCAGTCATTTTCAGACATCTGGGTCCAGGAATTGACTCATCCTGATGAAGAAAATAAAGGCGTTTCTTACACGACCCATCAGCCGTACAGCTTTCGGGGAGTATATAATTTCAGCGGCATGGTTTGCAAGACGAGCAAAACTCTGGAATCTTGTTGTGCGGCAGTGAAACGACACTGCCGACATAACGCATTCCCAGAAGGCCGTGCGGCTGATGGGTTCTGTAAGAAACTCTGTTGTTGTTGATGTGGAGTCACATATTTGTGAGGGAGACACATTGGCTGCTTAATCATTTCATTTATATTCTCCACGACGATCACGATTACTTTTGAGTTGCACATTATCCTGACGGTCTGCATGGCGACGACGATGGTTGTGATGGTGGTATTGGTGTTGTGTCGCACAGGTTGTACCCGGTGTTGCCAGGCAACGGCAGAGTGACTCAGACGGACATGGTACTGGGAGGTCACCACATCCCCAAAGGGGTGAGGATCTCACACCACCACCACCACTACCTCTTCCCACCCCTTGCCCGTGATGCCGCGTGGGTGGGTCCGTGTGTTTAAAGTGGCCAGCCGTGGTGCTGGCCACACCACCCACTCGTAGTCCGTGACATCCTTCATGGGTGCTCACAAACTGCACTCGTCTATCAAAAGGCTTTACGAGTTTGGGGAATGACATTTTTGTTTGTATGGAGAGTTGCGGTACAGTAGTTAGCGCACAGCGCTACGAACCCGGCAACCCAAGTTCAATTCCCAGCCACCACTAGAACCAGTGGTGATGTCTGAACCTGGCCTGGAGCCTCCCCAAGGTCAAATTAGCTTTGAATGAGGATCTGGTCCGGCGTGCAAACATTAGCACCGGGGAGACAAAGGTGGCTAAGGATCTTTCTGCCCACACCACGACCCTTTATCATTGCTCTGCAGTCCACTGGCAGCATTGGCGAAACATTGTACGAAAAATTCCCTCCCGGTCCAATGCCGGACCTAGCCTGGATATTGCCTATTCTACTATTCAATCAGTCCAATGTCGGGATTTCCCCCAACCACAAACACTGAAGGGTGCGTGGAGAAAAAAGGCAGCCGGGCATGGTGCTGGCTACACCCCCCCCCCACCCCCTCGTAGTGGCCTTCATAAGTGCTCGCGAAGAGCATTTGCCCCAGTGGCCTGTGTAGGGGGGGGGGGTTGGAGAACACGGCCTTGTGTGTGGCCGAGAGCGACACCGGCCACAAGCACAGCCGGTGTTCACGCGCTGCCCTCCGATGCCCGCGGTCCCTCTGTGCCAACACGTCTCCCGTTGCACCCGCAGACCCAACTGGCCATGTGCCACTACAGCACCTCGCACGACCCGGCCACGTTCCCGCAGCCCGAGAGCTTCCGCCCCGAGCGCTGGCTCCGCGACGGCGCCTCCAGGGGTGGGCCAGCGGGGCCCCACGGTGACGGCAGCGGTGACGGGGAAGAGGAAGGGGAGGAGGAGGAGGAGGGAGCGCACCGGTGCCCCGAGTCGGCTCACGGGTCGCGAGACTCGCAGGGGTTCGCGTCGATCCCGTTCGGGTACGGGGTCCGCAGCTGCGTCGGGCGGCGCGTGGCCGAGTTGGAGATTCACCTGGTGCTGGCTCGGGTGGGCACGAGCGCACACACGCACACACCCCACGCACGGACACGCATTGAGAATTGCAATACAATTCGGATTCGTATGGAATTTCAAATGAACAAGTGTAGGGTTAGATTTTAAGGATTTTCTTTTTGGCGACAACTTTTTTTTTTCCCAGTTGCGCTATCAGTGTCGCGAGACGAACAATTCATTCTGAAGTCGAGCAGAGCATCGTGGACCTTCGTGGTAGAGAACGGGACACGGGAACGTCACAGAGCTACCTGGGAACATCCTTCAAGTGGCCCGGTCACAACAGCAGAGGGCAGCACGTTCACACTCGCTCTGTCCAAGAGGGCACCGTTCATCAAATTACGATCGAATGGATGTTTTTGATTCCCAGAGTTGGAACGTGGACAAATTAAGGGCAGACCCAAATTTAATATGATAGGTTTTGTTGTGCAGTCATTGGTGATCAAGCCTCGACAATCAACTCACTGCACTCGAGAATCTGATCTTGACCGCGGCCAGAATGCAACCTTGTACTGGTAGGAACCTCCTGGTTACACCATCCCACAGGGGATTATTGTGTCCGTCCGTCCGTCGTGCAGGGAGGGGCTGGGTGGGGAGGGAGGGGCTGGGTGGGGAGGGAGGGTGGGGAGGGGCTGGGTGGGGAGGATGGGGCTGGGTGGGGAGGGGCTGGTCACACCGTGGTGTCCTTATAAAACTCAATGTATAACCTACTCACGCCGGCTTGTGCCCGTCCTCACAGTCGGGAACATTTGCGGAATATACCACGCCGCCGTTGAACTTGGCTATTGACCGAGCAACCCAACGTTCCTACCAGCTCCCTCCGCAGGAATGTGTTACACCCACGGTAATAGCCACGGCGGCCTGCCAGATTCGAACTGCAAACCCCTGCAACAAGCGACGAACACGCTTACCGCAGGGCCACGATCATAACCCCACTCGTGTCCGCGCGAGCCTCGTACACACGCACGTCCGTGCCTGACCGTTGCCCTGAGCCTGCGCCTCGACGCGATGTCGCCCCTTCTCCTTCCCCGCCTTCCTCACAGCTGCTGCTCGAGTTCCGCGTGGAGGCCCTGCCCGGGGCCCCGCGTGTCCCGGCCAAGACGCACGGCCTCCTGGGGCCCGGGGGCTGCCTTGACCTGCGCTTTGTGGACCGTCGCTCATGACCCACCTGTGCTCACCACGCGACTCACGCGACTCGCGCTCACCTGTACTCACCACCTGTCCAACGCTCACATCTGCCTCTCACCTTTACTGACCACCTGATCGCCTCCACTCACGCCCAGATATGTCACCCGACCCATACCAAACTCGCACACGCACAACACTGCGGGCCACCCCACAGCCGTGTGGAGCAGAAGACAAAGCAACGGTGTCATTAAGTTGTTGTATAGATCTGTAAGTAGGTTCATAGTTGGGTTTTTTTTCGGGTTCGATCGTGTAGGTATGACGTCAATTAGAGTTATGCTCACCCTCAACCACCAAACAGATGTGCCACATGGTGGACAAATGTGCCAACTTATTTAGTTTTGCCAGCAAAAAAAAAACCCGGTTACGTTGAAAATCGGGCAAAATGTTGACAATTTTGCACCGCGTCTCACTGGAGATTAACACCAGGCCGTCATTCGGCGTGAGCAAGGACCTCGAGTGGACGGGAGAGCGGATCCTGAGCCCTTGAGCAGGTGGTGGTGTCATTGATCAGGTGGTGGTGTCATTGATCAGGTGGTGGTGGTGTTATTGATCAGGTGGTCGTGCCCACGCTCCACGATCCCAGACTTATCGGCGTCGTCGCAAAGAGGTTCGCACATAGCCCTCGCGCGAGCCGTGTTCGTCACAATTGACGCGTTTCTACACTTCGCCACGCGCTAATCAATTCATCTCATGTGTCCGCGTCGGATGGCGGGAGCTTCTTAATTGCACAGACCTGTTGAGGTTGCTACGTGGCTTAACCGACAAAACTAATCGTAAAAAATGTATTTGTTAAAGTGCGTGCTGTGAAGAAGGGTCATTGCCCGAAACGTCGCCTCTCGTCTTGTTTTCACCAAATCAATATATAAGCCACGTGGGACAAATGTTTCCTTGCACCTCCGTTTAGCACGATTGGCTACATACGGTGCGAAAAAAGTTCAACGCACATACAAGTTCAACACATTCCTCCAAGGGAAGGAACTTGGAGTGGAAGTTAATGCCTCAGTGCATAGAGGCCGTACACAATACAACTGTAAAAAAGCATGTTTTCAACAAATAAACAACACATGAATGATGTCCGACTCCTCCTGTAATGTGTTCTCGGTAAACCAGCGCCGGGTTGAGGTTCTTGTAGGTCCGAGGGCGCTTCTGTTTCGTAGGTCTTCAGTGATAACTTTACAAAGTTGTTGCCAACATGTTATTGCTACCGCTGCTAATCACTCGCTAAAGCTGATTTAAAAAAGAAACTGTCTCGTATCAACCATCGGACATCAACGCCGCCTTGTCCTTCCCTTGCACGACTCTCGATTGAGAATGAGATCGTGCGAAAGACACCATTTAAAGACGTTATTGATAATTTTGCAATAAATAAAAAGCTCATCTCCGATGTTCATTTCTCTCACCTTATGAAAAAAAAAGATTGACATTGACATTACTCTGCCTCTGTGTATATAACACTGGCTATCCTTGCTATATAAATATACATTATTCAAGAATATATCTTGGTGATATATTCTTGAATAATATATTCTTTAGTTGCCGTATGCCCGAGGCACTGCGCCTATTTGATAATACGGCCCTGCAGTAAACAGTCACCCACACAGACAAAGCTCCCCCGTAAAGCCTTAAGAGACTGTTGGGGCAAGTGCTGTGGAGCGAGCCCTGTGTTACAGCTGGCACAGCGCACGTGGAGGCGGTTGAGGCGGCCACCACAGCCAGCCACCTTTGTCTCCCCACTGGTGACGTTGACACACCACACCAGGTACTCATTTAAGGTCGATTTGACCAAGGGCAGGGCTCAGGACCGCTTTCTGAATATTCCTCGTCATTACTGGTCGTGAGTGGGAATCCAACTCGGGTTTTGTAAGCGCAGTTCGTTCACAGCTCACCACTTCCCACGCACGCACACAAAGAGACATTTGGACACGCACTTGCACACAATATCACTCTCACATACTCTTAGGTTTTTTCGGTAAAGTCACGTAGGTAAAAATAAAATAAATATATAAATAATAATATAAATAAAATAATAAATCTCGACGTTTCGGAGGCAACACAAGTCTCCGTCATCAGGTGGGACCGTCACAGCTAAATTTACTGTATCAAGTGTAAATATTATTTATTTTTATTTTTACCTACGTGACTTTACCGAACAAACCTAAGAGTGTGAATCCTTGCAGTCACGAAAGCTTCAAATCTAAAATCACTCTCACAACCATCCGAGCACTGGTGCCATCTACTCGAATGGCTTTCCAGAAGGCGATAACAGCAACCACGTGAACTTCACCTGTTCCGCCTGTGAGGGATAGAGTGTTTGGAGCCGTCCATCCATAAATGACGTCACGCACTTGGGTGGGGGGGGGTCAGACATTTGTGACGATGTGTGACGAGGGGGGGGGGGGTTGAGAAATGAGACGTCACATTAAAATGCGCAACTTTAAATACATATAGAATTGTTATAACAACACTCCTACAACATCAGAGTGCAGCGCCACATTAAATACGCACTACAAAAAACTATAGTTTAAAACGATTTGAAGCATGTTTTATTTTAAAAATGGAAATGGGTTTTTTTTGGGGGGGGGGGGGGGGCAGAGCTTTGTGACGTCATATTTGAGGGGGGGTTGTCTGACTTTTTGTGACGCCGTGTGACGAGGGGGGGGGGGGGGTCAAAAATCGTCCCAAATCGCGTGACGTCATTTATGGACGGCCCCTTTCCCCCTCGCATGCGTGGGCTCGTATTCTCTGGGTGCTCCCATTTACAAAATAAAAACGCGACACAAGGCCTACACTAATAATAATAACACGTAAACGTTCACGACATCAACAGCAACGTTTCTACAAAAAAACGCAAACGAATCATTTGGCGACGCTGCTGCGTCATTCCTCTCCCTTCGTGTTCGGCTTCAATCGAAGCCTCGGCGGCTCCGGCTGAAGAGGCCACGCGGTGGCCGCCTGGGGCGTTGCGCGCGACCGCCGACGTCTCTGGGTCGAAGCGGCGACTCGGCAGAACCCGAAGCAAACCTCGAAACAACTAAAACTAATAAAATGTTTAAAAATACTTTTGGTGATTTACAGGCAACGCGAGTTGAGCGTGGACAATTAGACCCGTAAAAAAGAATGTTTAACAATATATATTTTTTATGATAGACAGAACCGGCCCTAGACTTTTGGGGGCCCTAAGCAAAATTTGGTTGGAGGCCCCTTTGATGTATGATTTTTTTTCACCCACTCGCTAGCAGTGACTCTAGGGGGGCCCTCTGCTGGCCACGGGGCCCTTTGCAATTGCAAGGGTCGCTTAGTGGCTGGGCCGGCTCTGATGATAGAATATAGTATTGTCATCAGTATGACATACCTATACCAAGTTTGCAGTCGATACGACATTGGGAAGACGGTTGAAATTGAGTTACAAGATTTGATGATACGATAACAGAGTGAGTTAAATAAAAGCGTGTAAAATGTAAAAAAATATATATTTTAAAATTTTAATTATAGAATATAGTCTTGTCATCAGTATGACATAAGTATACCAAGTTTGCAGTCGATAGCACATTGGGAAGTGGGTAAAAATTGAGTTACAATATTTTTTGAGGATACGACAACAGACGGAGTGAGTTAAATAAAATCGTTTAATAGAAACGATCTGTTTCGTGAGTTCATTCTACCAGGTTTAAGGTCCAACTCATCTTTATATAGCTCTAGTTTTCTTTTAGAAGCGAGAGTGGCTATCAAAAATTAGAGCTTCGACGAAGTGGCTTATCGTGTGGAATTTTATAGCGGCCAAATGCTCTGAACGCGTGGATGTTGATTCTAAATGTGTGTGCCGGGGGCGGGGGGGACCGGAGGAACCCGGAGACAAATCCACGCGACCACGAGGGGGGGAGAGAGAGAGACGCGCAAACTCCGAACATGCAGCAGGCGTCAGGGTCGGGATCGAACCCACGAGCTCCTTGCATGGCGAGGTCGTTGACATCTCGCGCCACGCCCGCCTCGGTCTCGACAGGGTGGAGACACCGAGACCGATTAGAAAATGCGCTACCGCAGTTGCTTGTATAAGTGGGAGGTCAACTCGGGTTTGCCAGGGTCACGGGGCAGCGTGCGCTATGAGCACTGCGCGTCACCCACCGCTCCCCACCAAGTCATCGCGCACTCACGACGCAGAAACACCCGCCCACAAATTTCCTGGCCTTTTATGCTTTTATGGCTTTATTTTGGCGATTTCGAAAAGTTTTTTGGTTTGGTCATGTTGTAGTACGGAGTTAAACTGATGGCTTTAATCGAAGTTGTCTTGTGGTTGTTGTTGTTTGACTTGCATCCCACTGGGATTTTTGCACACAGCATTGGTGTACGGTGCTTTTTCTGGAAGATTTTGCAGTTTTCTCCCGGATTTTTCTGTTTGCACATAGCCACTTTAAAATGTTTTCTTGTTCATGTTTTTTTGTTTGTTGCGGTTGCACCCGATTCAAGAGCCGAATGGCTCACAGGGCTATACCAAAAAAATGAAACTGAAATGGCATTTGGCTGCCTGACCAGCCGATTACGTAAGGTGGGTGACATTGTGCCAGAGGGCGACGTCGTGGTGAATGTGAACACCGAGGCACGCGTAACACTTGCACGTGCATTACACACGTGTGTCACGTACGGAGGTGTGTTCTCCAGTGAGTGTCTCTGGTGAGTCGGTGTGCAGGTCACTGGTCTGAATCTGTCCCTGGGGAGTCTATCTGATGAGACAAAGGCGGCCGGGCGTGGTTATGGCCGTGCTGGCTTTCACAGTGACTCGCAAACAACACTTGCATCGACTGCCCCCGTTCAAAGCTACACAGGGGGATATTTGTCCTTGTGTGAGCGTGTGGGACAGAGTGTGTCTATTGTGGGTCTATTGCGGGGAGCGGTCGGGGAGCGGTTAGCGCGACGCTGCGCTGGGAACCCGGCGAGCCGGGTTCGATTCCCGCACACGGCCAACACCAGTGACGATTATCTGAACCGGTCTTGGGCATCCCTTAGGTCGACTCAGCCTCAAATGAGTGCCTGATGCGGTGCGTAAACATCGCCACTGGGGAGACAAAGGCGGTCGGCCGTGGTGCTGGCCACCCACCCCCTCGTGTGCCGTGCCGGCCTTCATAGGTGCTCGCTAACAGCACTTGCCCCTACAGTCTGTTAAGGCTACACGGGGGATCTTTGTCTTTGTGTGCGAGTGTCGCGCATGCAAACTGCAGACACAATGTCCCTGACAGCTTTGCATCAAACATCGCCATCGTCATCACCCCCAACAGCAAACATCATCAACGTTCATCCCTAACAACGAACATCACCGTCAGCATCATAATCAGCCCCCAACATCAAAACATCGCCGTCATCGCGCATTGCACATTCGCCATCACCGCCGCATTGCAGCACGACACATTACCATCACCACCATTACCACCATCGCCCGCGCATTGCACATCTCATCACCACCATCACCACCACCGCCCATCAACACCACCACCACCTCTGCATGACTGATCACCGTCGTCATCCCGGATTGCACCACATCAACACCATCACCAGCATCATCATCACCAGCATCATCACCCCCCCATCACCGCTCTCTGCAATGGGCATGACCCACCGCAACACCCCCATCACTGCTGGTAGCGCCTCCTCCCTCCCTCCCTGCTCCTCCTCCGCGCTGCAGTGAACAGCCGCGCACTTCACATCGCCGCAGATTCTCTTGCTCGACGACCACGGCAGGAGGGCTGGGGTGGTGAAGACGGCGCACATCACCACCATCACCGAGCATCATCGCAGCCGACACGCAGATCCGCGCACGACAGCCACCAGCGCACAACCGTAACAGGGCACGCGACCGAACCGTCGTCTCGACTGACGCAGGCCGGGCCCTCATCTGTCTCTGTCTCTCTCGTCACCTGCGCCCCCCCCGACTCCATCACCCGCCCCGTGACGGCGGCACAATGCGCGAGATCGTCCACGTGCAGGCCGGCCAGTGCGGCAACCAGGTCGGGTCCAAGGTGAGAGAGCGCGCAGCTCGGACTGTGCAGTCCTGTGCAGTCCTATGCAGAGGCCGACTCGCAGTGCTCTGTGCAGAGCTCGAATCATCGAGTGCACAATCCGACCGGCACTCGCGTGTAGTACGGAGCCCGACTCAGTATGCAGTGCACATCTTGACTCGTGTAGACCGGCATAACCCGGCCGTGCTGGATGTGTTGTGATGCGTGCTGCAGTGTTCGCAACATGATCTATCAGTGGTGTATCACGATGGTGATGTGTTACAGTGATGGCGTATCACAGTGATGATGTATCACCATGGTGATGTATCACGGTGGTGATGTATCACCATGGTGATGTATCACGGTGGTGATGTATCACCATGGTGATGTATCACGGTGGTGATGTATCAGTGATGGTGATCTATTACAGTGATGTATCAGTGATGGTGTATCACCATGGTGATACATCACGATGGTGATACATCACCATGGTCATGTACCACAGTGGTGATGTATCACCATGGTGACGTATCACGATGGTGACGTATCACGATGGTGACGTATCACAGTGGTGGTGTATCACCATGGTGATGTATCACAGTGGTGGTGTATCACCATGGTGACGTATCACCATGGTGATGTATCACAGTGGTGACGTATCACCATGGTGATGTATCACAGTGGGTGTGGGTCAAGAGCAGGAGAACGCCCCGATGTATCAGGGCTGGTGAATGCGGCGCGGCGAGCGTGTAACCCCCCCCCCCTGTCTGCATTGTATTCATGCAGCCAATGTCTTTTATTATCTGCGTAGTGTCGCCCCCCCCTCTCTCTCTCTCTGTTCCGCATGCCTCTCCGTTGGCACAGCATTCGCATTGGATCGGTGGCACAATGGTTAGCGCACTTCGCTTCGAACGGCATTTAAAGGGTACCCGGTGCGGTGTTTAAACATCAGCGATGGGGAGACAAAGGCGGCCAGGCGTGGGTGTTGGCCACAACACACCCTTAACTGCTCCTTCATACGTGCTTGCAAACAGCGCTTGCCACAAAAAGTCTGCGAAGGCTGTACGGGGTATCTTTGTCATTGTCTTATTATACGCACAGCCATTTCTGTTCAATCCAGTAATGGATGAGGAGGGTGGGGAGGGGGTCTTCGCCATCGCGAGCGCAGGATCGTGGTGGGCGAAGAGGGGGCTGCTTGACCTCGCCACGTGCGGTCAAACCGGGGGGCGGGCGACAGACGCCTGCGGGCTTTGCGACCGCGTGCTTTGTCGTTGCAGTTCTGGGAGGTGATCAGTGAGGAACATGGCATCGACAGGACGGGCTCATACCGCGGATACAACGCGCGGCTGCAGATGGAGAGGATCAACGTCTACTACAGCGAGGCGACGAGTGCGCTCCCTCGACCCCCCCCCCCCGGGACCCCACCGTGTCCCCCACTGCCCCCCAATCCACCATACATGTGGCCAGGGTCGCCACCCTCTCCCCACTGGAGATCAAACCCAAGGACACGTCTCTCGGGAGGGCCTGGGTGTCTATCAAAACTGTGCAGCGTCCGAAAAAAACCAGGGCGTTATCGGGGCAATCCGGGCTTGACAGTTCCTGCCATTCGATACACAGCTGCTTGGGATGGCCCGGGTCAAACTCAAATCTGGTGGCAACCTGAGCACCAACTGCAACCGGGCAGTTCGACATCCTGGGTTCGGGCTAACGAGATGACGACCGAGACACCGGATGACTTACGCCGGGGACGGGAACCTTTTCCCTCCCGAGGGCTGGAGAGGGCATTCAAGATAGCTATGGCGGGCAACCACACAAGACGCACACTCACACACACCTCAGCCATTATCTGATGATGATGATGATGGGCAAAATACTGAGGGCCCGTCGTGTTTCTAAAGTGCACAGTGAAAAATATTCTTTTCCAGTAGCCGATTAGTGCTGCCGAGATGCTTGCGGTGACAGGTAAATTATTGTTTGCGCGCTGTTTCACAATGGTAGGCCTCGTGTGGCCGGTCAGGCCATAGGTTCCTGTCTCCTGCCCAAGGGCCCCAACAATGAGGCCACGGTTCTGCATGGAGACCGTGAGGGCTGCAGGGTACGGAGCTGCCCGAGCTACAATCCCACGGGGTTTGAAGAATTTCCCCACACAACCTCGACGGTTCTATGATTAGCATCACTATTATTATCATGGCTAGTACCACAATAGCAACAGTACCGCCATCGCTAGCATGAGCACCACTAGCTCCATCATCAGTATCACATCACCAGCACAAGAATAATGCGTACCACCATCATCAGAACCACCTTTTTGCACCATTACCAGCACTCTAACTAGCAACAGCACCACCATCACCAGCAAGAGCATCACTTAAATTATGAATAACACAACCATCACTCACACAACCATCATTATCACCACTACCACCACGAGCACAGCTAACATCGCCTGCAGCAGTCACCAGCAGCAGCAGTGTGTTGAGGCAGATGCGGTGTGCAGTGCTTGTCAAGATGCCTGTGACCCAGGAGGGAAAATGGCTCCGCAAACTCCAGAACTGAAAATCGGCCAAAATCTGAAAAGGCAAAATTCATTGCTATGGGAAGGAGGGGTGGGGCAGGGAGCAGTTTGCGGGCAGAGCACGATAGCCAAATAGACTCCAGCCCGAACCAAAGAGCCAACTGGCATGAGGACTACCACTGACAATGCCGATTAGCCGACCATTCACGAGGTCTTCCATAGTCCCTAACCCTGCCCAATATTAGCAAACCAGACACTGGTACTTGCCCTCCCACTGATCTTAATCCTAACCCCACCTATGGACCCCTCCTTGTCAAACGCCACCTACGGCACTTTGCCCGGGGCCGTTTTTCACCGTTTGTTCACTTAAAAATTTATATAAACAACGATCAGTAAAGTTTAACACGTAGGCTTTCGTGACCAATATCATCCATGAGAGGTTTTCTTTTCAACCCAAAAAAACCTCTATTATGAACGATCAGTAAGACAAAATATTAAGACTAAAGAGAAACAAAACAACTCAAACGTTCCGTCGAATGCCTGGGCCCGATTTCTCAGTACGTGGTGACCCCACCAACGCTCCGTCGCCGACCGGGAACGGTGCCTGTTGCTTCTAGATTTGAAGCTTTCGTGACTGCAAGGAGTCATACTCTTAGGTTTTTTCGGTAAAGTCACGTAGGTAAACATAAATAAATAATGAATACTTTATTATAAACATTATAGAAGAATAGAAATAAAATAATAAATCACGACGTTTCGGAGGCAACACAAGCTTCCGTCTTCAGGTGGAACCGTCACAGCACGATTGCTGTATCAAGTAAAGAGAAATCCCAAGAGACCCGACCTTGTATATATACTGGCTGAGGGGGGAGGAGCCAGGATGGGCCACGGGAGAGGAGTTGTTATGATAAGGTTGGTACGGCTGCGGCTGCTGCTGAACCTGAGCCAGAGGTCGCAACCGGGTACCCGATACCCGTACCCTACCCGATACCCGGCTACCCGTACCCGGCCGGGTACGGGTACCCGTTTTCGACCCTGGTGCGGCCGGGTACGGGTACGGGTAGACCGTGAGTTACTGGTGAGTCACCGTTTGTCACTCATTTCCCAACGTCTTGTCTCTTCTCACAATTCAAGTTCCTGGAATCAACCCACCCGCGCCTGCAACATGGCTTCATCCCAGAGGTCGCAATTGGGTACCCGATACCCGTACCCTACCCGATACCCGGCCGGGTACGGGTAGGGTACGGGTAGCCGGGTAACGGGTAGGGTACGCGTACCCGTTTGCGACCCTGGTGCGTACGGGTACGGGTAAGGAATCAAAATCCGTTTGCGACCTCTGGTCCCTCCCGTTCGCGCAGGTGGCAAGTTCGTGCCGAGGGCGATCATGGTGGACCTAGAGCCGGGCACCATGGACGCGGTCCGCTCGGGTCCCCTGGGCCACATGTTCCGCCCGGACAACTTCGTGTTCGGTAAGCTGGGTGATGATGAAGGGAGCGGGACAATGGAACCGTTTTGGCTACCAACAAAAACTTACTTGAAAATGTTGACATCAAATCGGCTAACGTAACCACTTCGTTCATACAACTGCTGTGCTGCATGGGTGTCACCGTGTTCGTGGAGGGCTCATGCCCGTAACGTCGGGCAACCTGTAGACATTTGTAAGAGATCAGACTGCTTATGAGACTCAAAAAAACGCGCGAGATATCGATGTCTGGTCTACGAATGTGCACAGGACACACAGGACTCGAATGATCGTGTGGGCTCCTACAAACGGGCGCACTTGCCTGTAAGACAATGTGCTGCCCCGCTTGTGTAACAACAACAACAATAATAATTTGACTCGGGAAAACCTCACCAAGTCTCAAGACGCCTTTTCAAGAGGGTCCTGTTTTGGTCATTACCATCATTGAGTATTTAGTTGGATGAAAACGGAATACGGACCAAGGTAAAAACCCACCTCACAGATAAGGGGATAACGCCTCAAGATCCTCACAGATAGATTCAAGAATCCATTGCTGTGTACTACCTTCTCTCACCCACCGCACAGCCCAAGTCAGTGGCGCTGCTGTCGAGTGTGCTGGTGGTGCGACTGCGCCGACGCCCAAAGGCCGGAAGGATCCAGGGGCCGGGCCATAAAGAGGGAGGACTTTGAATTGGGGGAGCCATTCCATTCATTCCTTGCACAGGGTCCCATGCCCATCAGGCGACGTCACTGGATCAGGCCTGCGAAACCTGGCATTCACCTGGCATTCACCTGGCATTCCCCTGGCATTCACCTGGCATTCACCTGGCATTCACCTGGCAGCCATCCCACAGTGGAGTCGGCGAGTGTCGGCAACTCGGCTCCCCGGGCCGATGCCGCTCATCGGCGCGATGCCGCTCATCGGCGCGATGGCCTTGTGCCCCACAGGCCAGAGCGGCGCGGGTAACAACTGGGCCAAGGGCCACTACACGGAGGGCGCGGAGCTGGTGGACTCGGTGCTGGACGTGGTGCGCAAGGAGGCGGAGAACTGCGACTGCCTGCAGGGCTTCCAGCTGACGCACTCGCTGGGCGGGGGTACCGGCTCGGGCATGGGCACCCTGCTCATCAGCAAGATCCGCGAGGAGTACCCCGACCGCATCATGAACACCTTCAGCGTGGTGCCCTCCCCTAAGGTGAGAGACCACTAGTGCTTTAGCTACTGGCACTATAACCCCGACCGCATCATGAACACCTTCAGCGTGGTGCCCTCCCCCAAGGTGAGAGACCACTAGTGCTTTAGCTACTGGCACTATAACCCCGACCGCATCATGAACACCTTCAGCGTGGTGCCCTCCCCCAAGGTGAGAGACCACTAGTGCTTTAGCTACTGGCACTATAACCCCGACCGCATCATGAACACCTTCAGCGTGGTGCCCTCCCCCAAGGTGAGAGACCACTAGTGCTTTAGCTACTGGCACTATAACCCCGACCGCATCATGAACACCTTCAGCGTGGTGCCCTCCCCCAAGGTGAGAGGAGAGAGCGACGAGGTGGAGGACGATAGTACCGGTACTATAACCCCGACCGCATCATGAACACCTTCAGCGTGGTGCCCTTCCCCACGGTGAGGGGGCTCTAGATGTAATACTATTGGACTGTGGCGCTAGCGGGCTGTGGTACTAGAGTACTGGACACGATCTGACGCGTGTAACGAGCGCCGGTCTTGAGCCATCCCTGACACTGCTGCTGGCGTCTTCTCCTCGGGCAAGGTGAGGAGACACCGGGGGACTGTGGTCAGTGACGCGAGCATTAGCCGTACCCCCCCAAGTACTGGACCTGACACTCGCACTGACACAGACTACTCCGTGACCACGTGCGCTGCCGAAGGCGAGAGGCTCTGGGGTCGTGCCCTAACAACAACGACAACATTAACTCGAACGATAACCCAGGCCCGCCCGACTCTAGCCCCGACCTCCTGACCTCCACGACGAACCCCCCCCCCCTTCTCCACACTCGATGGAAGCCGTGCCGCCCCGCAGGTGTCGGACACGGTGGTGGAGCCGTACAACGCGACGCTGTCGGTGCACCAGCTGGTGGAGAACACGGACGAGACGTACTGCATCGACAACGAGGCCCTCTACGACATCTGCTTCCGCACTCTCAAGCTGGCCAACCCGGCGTACGCCGACCTCAACCACCTGGTGTCGGCCACCATGAGCGGCGTCACCACCTGCCTGCGCTTCCCGGGCCAGCTCAACGCCGACCTGCGCAAGCTCGCCGTCAACATGGTGCCCTTCCCGCGCCTGCACTTCTTCATGCCGGGCTTCGCGCCGCTCACCAGCCGCGGCTCGCAGCAGTACCGCGCGCTCACCGTGCCCGAGCTCACCCAGCAGATGTTCGACGCCAAGAACATGATGGCGGCGTGCGACCCGCGGCACGGCCGCTACCTGACGGTGGCCGCCATCTTCCGCGGCCGCATGTCCATGAAGGAGATCGACGAGCAGATGCTGAGCGCGCAGACCAAGAATAGCAGCTACTTCACCGACTGGATCCCCAACAACGTGAAGACGGCCGTGTGCGACATCCCGCCGCGCGGCCTCAGCATGTCCGTCACATTCATCGGGAACAGCACCGCCATCCAGGTAGCGACGGTGACTTCGCGACGCGTTGTCCGGCCCTCCAACCCCTCCTCCTTGTCATCGGCCACAGATCACTGTGGTCCACAGCTCCGTACTCACTCATCGCTGTGGTCTCTCTCCCCATCGCTGTTAAGAACGCAACTCTGTCGATAATGCCAAAGGTACTTCTCGCGTGATAAGGGACGCGCGACTTTACGAAAACTATGACATGCTTAAATCTTGATCTAAAGCTTTCGTGACTGCAGGTATTCATATTCTTGGTTCTTTTGGTAAAGTGACGTAGAAGGGAAATAATAAAATAATAGTAATATTTGATTATTTCCCTTCTACGTGACTTTACCGAAAGAACCAAGAATATGACATGCTTCTTAGCTGTGTGTACGGTAGAGGCGGTTACCGTGCGTCACGTGTGTATTTGTCCGTTCAATGCAGAAACAAGCAGAGTCGATTGCGACGCGGTGGCGTCGTGGGCCGTCGTAGTTGTTGTTGTTGCAGCACGTGCGGTGTCTGAATCTGCGTCAAATCGATGCATCCCTGCAAAGGGCGCGGTAGCGACCACTGTGAGGAACAATATCATACTCTTTGGGTCTTTCGATGAATTCACGCAGATAGAAAAATAATAGATCACGACGTTTCGATCGCAACACAGGCAATCGTCTTCAGGTGAGAGACTCACCTGAAGAGAGGGTATGAATTCCTGCAGTTACGAAAGCTTCAAATGAAGATTGAACAATATCTCGCTTGTCCCCCCCCCTCCTCTCTTACGTTTCCTTTGCGTGCTTCTACCGGTGTGCTATTCTTGCCCTGATCAAGCCTCTCTCGCGATGCCTTTGCTCTTTCTAATTTAGCCTGCATCCTCCGCTGCTTGTCAGTGGCCATGCCAAGCATGAATAATCCCTTTCCCCTCATGATTCACCGTCAGAACGAGCACCTGCGCCGCCGTCTTGGGCACCGGCTAGATTGTGTCCTTGCCCGAGCGTTCTTCATTGTTGTGATTTCACCTTGTGGCTGTGAGGCACTTCCGTCAGGTTCACGAGAGCGACAACCCAATGCGTATGTTCTACCCCCCCACACACACTTTAGTGATCTTGCAAATCCAACGCGCAGGGTGCCATCTGAGTTTAGTTCAGGAGGCTAGAACAGACTCGTCTGGACGAGAAGATTCCTAGACCCGGCCAAAAACAAGTTTGAGAAAGCTTGCGACGAGAAGCATGACGAGATGATAAAACAATGTACGTTGAACTTCTTTAGCACCATACGTAGCCAACCGTGATAATCGCGGATGTGAGAATGATGGTGATGATGGACCGGAGATTCTTATATTGATAGTGGAATATTTCTGTTAAAAGTTGCAAGGCTCCTGAAATAGTTGAAATACCAGCTGACCTGCTCTAAATGTCTCTCTCCGTGCTGCTCTGTCCCTTTGAGCCCCACTCTGTCCCTGTGTCTCTCATTCTACGTCTCTGTCTCGCCGTATGCTTGCATCTGTCTCTGTGTATTATGTCCCTCTGCATGCCCCCCTGCTCCTCAGTCCCCCCCCCCCTCCGTCATTGGCAGGAGCCATTCAAGGGCATCTGCCTCTTTTGTCCGTTTCCTCCGCGTCTAGCTCTTCGTATCATTTATTTCTTGCCGTTTTTTTCCTTTCTTCGTGTGTGTCTGTGCCTGTGTACGTGTCTCTCACTGCTTGCCTCTTCCTCCGTAGTGCTCTCCGTGTCTCTCTCTCTCTACGTCTCCCTGTGCTTGTCTCTCAGTGTCCATCTACGCGTCTCTCTCTCTCTCTGGGCTCCACCCGAGCATCGGGACGGCTCCGCGTGGTGCCGCCGCGTCGACCCCCACGGTTGCCAAGCGACCCCTGCGGTTGCCAAGCGACCCCCGCGGTTGGCAAGCGACCCCCACGGGTTGCCAAGTGACCCCCACGGTTGCCAGGCGACCCCCACGGGTTTCCAAGCGACCCCCACGGTTGCCAAGCGACCCCCACGGGTTGCCAAGCGACCCCCGCGGTTGGCAAGCGACCCCCACGGGTTGCCAAGCGACCCCCACGGTTGCCAGGCGACCCCACGGTTGCCAAGCGACCCCCACGGGTTGCCAAGCGACCCCCACGGTTGCCAAGCGACCCCCACGGGTTGCCAAGCGACCCCCACAGTTGCCAAGCGACCTCATCTGGCTCTCCTCTGGCCTCGTCCCTCCCCTCCCCAGGAGCTGTTCAAGCGAATCTCCGAGCAGTTCACGGCCATGTTCCGCCGCAAGGCCTTCCTGCACTGGTACACGGGCGAGGGCATGGACGAGATGGAGTTCACCGAGGCGGAGAGCAACATGAACGACCTCGTGTCCGAGTACCAGCAGTACCAGGACGCCACGGCCGAGGAGGAGGAGGGCGAGTTCGAGGAGGACTACGAGGAGGATGAGGCAGAGGAGGAGGACGCGGCTCCGCACGAGAGTTACTGAACATGGGCGCCGCCGTGACGGATCGAACGCGACACCGCCACCCAGGCCGGAACCACGGCGATCGCATAGCTCCACACGTAGTCCCACACCATTCGCTCGAGCCCTAACCCATAGTCAATAGTCAACCCCGTAGCCTGGCCCAAGCCATACGGCCTTTATCAGAACCGTAGCCTGAACACAAACCCTCTCGCTAGCCCGAGCCATGAACCCAAGCCAGACACTAGGCCTGACTCATACAACAGATCTATCCCGATCCACAGGCTTCATAGAACCATAGCTAGCCCACACTCAAAACATAGCACTGCCCATGACACTAATCATAGCCGACTGTAGCTTTTCTCACAACTAACATCAATAACACTAACTTTAGCTGTAGTGCTACCATACTCCACGTCCACAGTGCTAATACGGAGGCACGGAGACAATACCTGAATAAAGAACGAGACCCCTAGGCTTAGGCATAGGCCTCGATTGAATTATCGCCCTCGGATAACTCTAGCTGACGTTGAACCGCTAGGCCTAGCGCTCTCCCTAACCTTGGTACAAGTCCGTATCCAAAACCCTCGGCCCAGGGTTCTATAAGGGAGCCTGTGGATCAAGCGCAATGTTAAGGCCAGTGGCTTGGTACAGTAACCATGCTTCAACATCTCGCAGCTGCTGTGCTCTGGACCAGAGCCCGAACCCCGTCTCTAATCCCGACCTGCCCCGTCTCCTCGTCTCCCATGCATGGTCGCAGTGCCCATTAGCACCATATCACTTTGGTCTCCTGGGATCTACAACCATTTCCCATTGGTGGTGGCAACAGTATTATTCAGAGTAGCAGCAGCAGTGTGTTTTCACCGTGACTCCGTTGTGTGTTCTTTTGCCAATCTCAGATAATGAATGAAGACCTTGCTCCCTCTCACTGTGCGTTAAAGCCCCCACTCCCTCCTACCCCCCCCACCCCATTCAGCTTATAAATAAAGCCTACGGTGTAGGTTCGGAGCACCACCATTCTCTCGTAAAATGTCAAACGGCACCGTGAATAAACGTGCGGCTTGTGCACACGGCCACCACGCGGTGCGTCCTCATCACTCGCCGTGCCAACTGCAGCCGCACGTGTCTCGCTGCTGTCCATGGTACTGCGCGCACTCGGGGTGCCCCGCCTACGCTGGGTAATCGATAACGGGCGGCGGGGGTTTCGGCCCCGCTTCACGTGGCTGCCTCGGCAAGGTAAGGTAATTTTACCATTTTTACCGGGTAAAAGGGTAAAGGTGTCGACATGCCAAGGAGTAAGGTAAAGGGTAGGGTTAAGGTAGCTCGGAAGAATAACCCGGTAGGGTAAAGGTAGCGCGAAGAATTACCCGGTAAATACGGTATCTTGTTTACCGCTAAAAGCTCCGTGGTGCAGTCCGTAGCCTCCTATTTAATAAGTAATATTGAAAAAAAAACCTTTTTTTTTAAACACGCTTTTATGAAATGTACTAGTAATGGCAGAACTCCACGACTCCAATTACAGCCAACGTCAGTTGAGCGTGGACAATTTGACCCAAGCCGATACATAACATTTAAAAAAAATCTTTAAAAACAGATATTTTTATGATAGAATATAGTGTTGTCATCAGTATGATATAAGTATACCAAGTTTGCAGTCTATACCATATTGGGAAGTGGGTTAAAATTGAGTTACAAGCTTTGATGATACAACAACAGTGAGTTCAAAGAAAGCGTGTAAAATTGGAATCATCGAGAGTATTCTATATGAATAAAGCGCTCTACCTAGCATTGCACCGTTATAAACCTTGTTCATGTGTCGTAGTACCCCAGTAATTACCCTGTAATCGGGTAATGTGTATGGGGTAAGGGTAAAAGGTAGGGTAAAGGTAGGCTCGTTGCTTTTTACCTTACCTGCTACAGGGTAAAAGGTAGGGTAGAGTGATTGTATTGTGGCAAGGTAAAATGTAAGGTAAAGGTAGGCTTGTTTTTTTACATTTTAACTTTTACCTTACCTCGCCGAGGCCTATGGCTGCCCGAAGTCCAGCGCCGAGGAGGCGGCGAGGGTTGACGGGTCGCCGCACGGACGCTGTGAAACTCCCTTCGCCGTGGGCGGCGAAGAGCAGCCGTACCCTGGCACGCCAGTCGAAAGTGGTGCCGCAGAATGTATCGGACTTCACCTGTTCCGGCCGCGTGAGATATAGTGTTTCCCCCTCGCACGCGTGGGTTTTCTCCAGGTGCTCCGGTTTCTTCCAACGTGTCAACACTCATTAATTGGTCAATCACGCCTTAATACATAGAGGACTGTGGAGCTTGGGCAATTGTTGGCTACAGCTCACGATTTGGCTGCTGCCTTCCCGCTTGCCTGCAGTTCATCCTTGTGCCCAATTCGTCCTCCGTCTTCTGCGCGGAGGTGGTGCGCGACAAGTCTAAAGCGCGTTGCAGCGTTCGCTCTGCCCATGCGTATAGAGCAGGGATGCACTCACCAGAGCCACTGCATGCAAGGACAACGCGTCACTGCTGTGGTTTTTTTAAAACTGTATTAACGCACGCACACACACACACACACGCGCGCGCGTTAAGTGGTTGGTTCGGTGTAAATACAGAGCACCGCACGCATCCGCAACACAGTTCACCACCAACACCCTCCTGCGCCTCACGCGAGGCCTGGGCTCGAGTCCCCCCCCGGGCGGTGCATGGCACCAAACCTCCGTCCGAGCCGCCCCCCCCCCCCTCCAAGCCTGTCGTCGACCCGAGCGTGGCCCCGTGGCACGCACGGCGGTGCCGGCATGGCGGGGATCGGTGTCTGATCTTAAGGATACATCCAACAAATGTGGGCCTGGATCTAACTTTTCGCATCACGACCTAACGGAGGTTTTTAACACGTAGGCTTTCGCGACCAACATCATCCGATTCCTCCTGCCTGAGCATTACATCGCGTCGATGCGGACCGATACAAATTCGACGCCATCGTACCTGAACGACGCAAAGACATTCTGCGTGTTTTTAATCCAAAACTCACGTGGTGGTTGAGGGGCCCACCACGGCAAAACGTCGCGAGTTTGGGTTCCCTGCCTCGTGGCAGCAGTTGCCGGAGAGACGCACACAGAGTGGACACACGGGAGGGGTCAGATCACTCGCAAAGGAAACGCACAAGAACCCTTTCTGACGAGTGTCACAGCGGGCGGTAACGCAGCAGATTGAAAACGTTCTTCTTTAGGCGCATTGGTTCGTTGCTTTTCATTGTCGAGTTCAGGTTTCCTAATCAAGGCACTCCTCCCCTCCAATCTGCTCGCAAAGAAACGAGAACGCAGGAGAAGCCGACTTGCTACCTCCCCATCTGTGGCGTTACCTCGGCAGTAACCCTGAATAAGAGAGTTGGTCCCCCACTTCTTTAAATGGGGGGGGGGGGGGGGTACCCACGACCCTAGAGCGAGCGGCTCGCGACGGGAAGGTCCTGAGGTCAAATCCTCCGGGGTCCATATCACCACACTTTGTGCGGAAGTCAACGAGCGAGTGCCCTATGGATGAACTTACCCCGGCCACACGAATGTGGAATCACACCGATGACACCGCTCATCTTAACAGGCAATCACTTCTGGGCCACATTCCTCGCGGAACAGGGACGAGTCCGGGGCGGAGGGGCGGTGTCAATGTTGGCACGGCTATCGAGACGTTGCCACCACGACGCCTTCCGTGGTGGCTCGCGGGGCAGAGGAGGATCGGAGCGGCGACGAACGCCGGCTCCGGAAACACCGCAAGCGCTGCTGGCCACCACCACCACCGCCTGCGCTGACCACCACCACCACCTGCGCTGACTACCACCGCCGCCTGCAGGCAGCTTGGGTGGAGCCGGCGCGTGGCGCCGTTCTCCTCCGGACTCCCGAGTCCGGCCTAAGGCACGAGCGGGCTAAGTTGCACACCACACGCACACTGTAGACACGACGCACACTGCAGACGCGACGTACACTGCAGACACGACGCACACTGCAGACACGACGCACACTGCAGACACGACGCACACGACAGACACGACGCGCACTGCAGACACGACGCACACGACAGACGCGACGCACACTGCAGACGCGACGCACACTGCAGACGCGACGCACACTGCAGACACGACGCACACGACAGACACAACACACACTGCAGACACTACACACACTGGAGACATGACGCACACTACACACACTGCAGACACTACACACACTGCAGACACTACACACACTGCAGACACTACACACACTGGAGACATGACGCACACTACACACACTGCAGACACTACACACACGACGCACACTGCAGACACGACGCACACGAGTTTATAAAAGGCGAGGGCTGCATGAAGCCCAGGAATGTACAATGCATTTCTTAAGTGAAGGCACTTTGGCAGGGCCCACCGTGATTTCCAGGGACTGGGGGATTCGGGGACCCTGAGGACGCCCCTCTTCTGTCACTCGCTTTGGACGCACTCTGAACCCCGGGGTCACGCCATCCAGCCTCTCAAAATCAAAGTCGGGTGCTCGAAAGAGGGCGGTCGGTGCAGGCTGCAGGGTTCTGACCTTTGTCTGCGTGGAGTTACCGGACAGCCTTACTCGACATCTGTAAAGCTTTCGTGACTGCAGGGATTCATCTTCTTGGTTCTTTCGGTAAAGTCACGTAGAATGGAAATAATAAAATAATAAAAAATACAATCCTGCATAATGCACGGGCATATGACTTTAAACCCCCCACCAAACTCCCTACGCATTTCACAAGTAGTAATAATCGCATATCTGCATTTCCCATATGACTTTAAACCCCCCGCCAAACCTCCTACGCATTTCACAAGTAGTACTAATCGCATATCTGCATTTCCCATAAATATGCTAATTTCCTCTTGATATTGAAATTCTTTTGTCAAGGCGCTCTTCCCCCCTCCATCCCAGCTTAAATAGACGCTCCAAGCCTGGGGTGTGTCGTTCAGACTCTGTCCTCTCGATAGACCTGTTCTCCACCTGAAGACGGCTGCTTGCGTTGTGGCCGAAACGTCGTGAGAATGATTTATTATGTTTTATTTTTATTATTTTATTATATCCATTCTACGTGACTTTACCGAAAGAACCAAGAAGAAGAGCTTCACAGCTCATCGGATTGCTCCGGTCTAAATAAAAATAATGATTTTGAGTTGGAGTATCTGCTTCCGCGTGGGGGGAGGGGGGTTTCTCTCTTGCTGGCCATCCTGGGTTTCTCCCCGGATGCAAACAAATACCCAGAGGAAGGAGTTGGGGGGAAAAAACGTCCAGCGTGGGTATGAGCGAGGTTTTTTCCCGGGGTAAATAAAAAACGAAAACCGGGAAATGTTAAATTATTTGCCGTCTTGTGAAATAACAAAAAAACAATAACACCCTAGGAGGCTGCAGAATCCCAGGACGAATCAAGTGTGAGAATGGTACCAGGCTTGCAACTCGGCTCCCCAAAGACAAAGATCCCCCCGTGTAGCCTTGAACGGACTTGTTGGGGATAATGCTGTTAGCGAGCACCTATTAACAACACCGGCACGACACACGAAGGGGTGGGTTGGCCAGCACCACGCCCATCCGCCTTTGTCTCTCCCCAGTGGGGATGTTTACTACACGCGGAACCAGGCACTCATTTAAGGCTGAGCCGACGCAAGGGGGAGACCGAGGATCGGTTCAGATAATCGTCAGCAACGTTGGCCGCGAGAAGGCATCCAACTCGGTTGGCCTCTCCCCCTCCACACACACACACGCACGCGAGTGATAACAAACACCGCAAGCATCGACACGGCACACGACTAACACTAAATCTGCACGGCCATGCAGCTCCGACGATACCGGGTCACGGGACGGCTCCGCCTGCAGGCCGTCCCAACACGAAGGCCATTGTCACGACACGCGCACGGGGTTTCGGCATGAATTCCCATCGTAAAAGTCCGCGCATCAATGCCCAACGCAAGGTCACAACAGCAAGGCACCGTCACAACACGCGGTCACAACCGCAGCGCCGCAGATTAGGGTGGTTTTTTGTTGTTTTTACGCGCGGTTGCCATCAGTGCCGGATTAATCTAGTGCGGGGCCTGTAGCATATGTTATTAAGGGGCCCTAAATAACTAAAAAACTAATTAAAAAACTTGCAGTAATTGTATTTTTCATTTGCTATACAGCCAGATAATACGACAAATCGATAACCTTGAACACCCAATCGTTCATAAAAGTTGAAGGCAGTATAGTACTATAGTAATAGAGCCAGTGCAGAATCACGGAACCGGAATTAATAGCTTGAAAGCATTTAGCGCAGGGCCCTTGAAAGTGCGGGGCCCGTAGCATTTGCTACTTTTGCTACTAGGATAATCCGGCACTGGTTGCCATTTCGCTGCACGTGTTCGCGTGACAGATACAACTCTGTGATGTGACACCCCCCCACATACACACCCCCGAGGGGGGCCCATTCAGAACTGCGTACCGCTAAAACCACAGCGAGAACGTTACAAAAGTAAAAACAAAAAAACAAGAGGGAGCCATTCGCGGCCACCTCGTTCGTCGTGATTGTCAGTTGCGCATGGATTCTCGAATCTGATGAAGGGGGGAGCTTTGTGTGAAGCGTCCCAGTGGCGTGGCCTCCAACTTGGCGGCGCGTTACCGCGGGCAGCAGGTTCCCCGCTCCCCGCCGCTCTCTGCGGATAAAATGCGACGCCTCTTTGGGGCCTCCGTCCGGAACGTTCCCGTACGCGGCTTCTGCTTCTCTCTCCCCCCCCCTCCCTCCCTGCGTCGAGCTTAAAATAGGCGTCCAGATCGACTCGGTCGATATTTATGATTTTGTAGACCCGGATTCAATCCCCCCGGGGGGTCTTTCTCCTCCATTTGGAAAGTCGAGGGATTCGGCATCTTGGGGCCCCGATATCTGCGCTCCTATTTAATTTATTTTGCAGTCGAGGAATGCCCCCAGCGTACTCTCCGTTGGGAATCTCTCCCGGACACAGCTTCGTGCACTCTCTGTAACGCGGTGACCGGAGCCGAGGCCAGGAGGGATCGTTCTTGATTTGAAGCTTTCGTGACTGCAGGGATCCATACTCTTTGGTTCTTTCGGTAAAGTCACATAGGTATAAAATAAATCACGACGTTTCGGGCGCAACACAAGCGTCCGTCATCAGGTGGGAAAGCATGGACTGCTGCTGAGGCAGACTGTTTTAAAAGGTTCAGGAGGCCGCTCTCCTATCTTACCTGATAATTTCTCACATTAACATCACGAGCCCTGGCCACTTCTTTATGGCCCTTGCGCTACACCCATTTCAAACCTTTCAAAACCGTCTGCCTCAGCAGCAGGCCATGCTTTCCCACCTGATGACGGACGCTTGTGTTGCGCCCGAAACGTCGTGATCTATTTTATTTTATACCCACGTGACTTTACCGAAAGAACCAAAGAGGAGGGATCGTCTCGCGGGCGCCTCCTCACAGCCTTGGCATCACTTCCTTTTCGCACGGTCACAACGGACGCGTCTCGCTGCGGGCCCGAGCATTTGACTGGCTCTGGTCTCCGCTCCTCCGGGTTGTGCGGACGACGACGACGCGGAGTGAAACGTCACAGTTCTTGGTTGCGCGGTGACTTGTGCCGCGATCGGGTAGCACGAGTTGGTTTCGTCCTCTTGTGGAGTGGGATAAATGTACAAGATTGTCATCGAGACGTCGTTTCCTTGACGGGCGGTCAACGTAACGGTCACAGGTATTGCATGCCCCGTGGGTTTGGCATTAAATATTGTACTGTGTTTATAAACATTACTCATTACTGCATAGTGATATTGCATTGTACTTAATAATAATTACAGCCTTTTGTCAATCCACTGCTGGATGAAGGCCTCCCACGTGACGTCAGTCACGGGGATTGTTTGACTATACAGATCACATACCCGCCCCAACTGGACATCTGTGAAAACGAGCTTCATAGCTCATCGGATTTCTCCAGCATAAATAAAGATTCTCACACATTGTCCAACGCCGTTCTACCGAACGCGTGTTTCGGCAATACGCGGTGCACTAATTGAGGTACGTTTTTTATCCTGGACACGGTGGGGGGTGAGGGGTGAGGAGTGGGGGTGAGGGGTGGGGGTGTGGGGGGGTTGAGGGGTGGGGTTGAGGGGGGGTGATGTTCCAGGTGTAGGCGGTTTGACAACGCCGAAATACTCCAACCCCTGCCGCTTCGAAAAGTCGTGCGGGGTCCGCTTGCAAGTCCCTCCAGCGCCTCCACCACCAACATCGTCGCCGTCTTCCCCTTCATCGTCGCCATCGTCGTGAGTAAAAAAAAAAAATTTCGGTTTCACGTTTTAAAATTTAGTTTCACGTCCCAATTTTCTTTCACTAACTGTGTACATTACTAACGTGTGTGCGTTACTAACGTATGTGTGCGTGTGTGGTTTTGCTGTGATACCAAACGGGCGAAAATCGCGTGGAAACTATAAGTTAGTGGGAGGAGGTGATAATCTCCATCATCATCATCATCCATCGAAGTAACATTTTAAAATTTCAATTGTTTCATTCTATGTTTAAATATCTTTTATTAAATTCTATTTACATGTGTCTTTTTTTTGCTACGTTATATCAAGTCGGGGAAATCGTGTAGAATTAGCTAACAACGAGGGGACGGGGCGATAACTTCAGAACCCAGGGACGCTACCCCCCAGTTCTCCCTTGAGGCCGATCGTTTACTGACCGCGGTTTTTCCCAACGTAACCTCCGACTCCCCCGGCACGTTGGGCGAGGTCCGACTCGACGTTGAGTGTTGATGAAGGGGGGTGGCGAGAACGTTCTGCTGCTGTTGTTGCTGCTGCTGCTGGGCTTATGGGCTTCGCCACCAAGACGCGAGCCACAGTCGGGAAATCGAACTCAAGTCGCTGGGTTCACTGCCCCACCCCAGCAAAAAAATCGCGTTTTTTTTACCAACCTGAAAACATTTCACACACGCACGCACACACGGCGTCAATGTCGGAGGCGAAAGCACTCGCAGAGCCCCGAAGCATTATCTGGCACGCTGGAAGACAGCGCAAGAGGCGACTGCGCCAAGTCCCGGTCCCTCACCCCGCCCACCGCCAGGGCCACCCCACCACGAGATCCCTTGCGACGCCGAGGGGCTGCGCCCCCACCACGGCCGTCCCTCACGCACGCGGCGAGCGGCACACGATGCAGGCGCCAGGCCCCCCCCCCCCCCCCCGGGCACCGGGGTTTCCGTCGCGATCCCCGCTGGGGGCCACGTCGGGCCTTGGCGGCGATCGGACGGGCTCCCTCCAACGCGGGGGAAGACCGACGACGGTCGCGGATCGCCGAGTTAAAGGCCTTTGAAGGTGCAGGAGCTGGAGAGGTCAGCGACGCTGGTTCGCGACGAGCTGCGTGGGGCCTGAAGACAAGGTGGCCTTTAGCATCTGTGGCCCGGGTATCATGGCGATCCGGAGCGATTGTTTGGGGTCACCGTGGCCTGCGGATCCTCGGGGATTTCGCGAGAGACGTTCGGCATGTCTCGTCAGAGCAGGGTCTCCTTCGTGGAGCGGACACTCCCCCCGGATCCCCCACTCCTCCTGGGCCCCCCACTCCCTCCGAGCCCCCCACTTTCTCTAGTTCGCCCGCCGCTCCCCGCGGAAGATTCCCCGCTCCTCCCGAGCCCCGCGGTCCCATCGGCCGCCACGGTCACCCCGCACGCTCCCCCGGGGCTCTCGCCGATCCCCGCAGTGCCCACGATCTCCATGGGGATCGCGCGGCCTCCCATCCCCACGAGGCCTTCGAGCACCCCGAGTCCCAGGGAACCGGCCGGGACCCCCGAGGCCCTGGCGTCCCCTGGGCGGGTGCCGTAGCGGTCCCGGACGATGACGTTGATGTAGGCCTTCATCAGCTTGGCCACCTCCACCACCTGCAAGGGCAACAACCGCAGCGGTCAGTCGCCTCCTTGCCACTTTTCTGTCGCTACCACAGTGGCCGCTCTTCCCGTGAGCTTCACTCGTTGATTCCTCCACCCGTGCTGAGGACTCGGCCTCTACACCATTTCATCTCCCCCATCGTCACTGCACTGTGTCCGACCACCATCACCGAGTGAGCGAGCGTGCTTGCGAGCGTTCGCATGCGAGTACCTGGGGCGTGTGGAAGAGCATCTCGCGCTCCATCACCACGATCTTGTAGGTGTTGTGCAGCGGCGCCCCGAACGACAGGATGTTCTCGTAGGGGAACGAGTCGAGGGGACTCGGCTCGCCGCGCCGGTACACGGACACCGCCGTGGCGCCCACCGCCAGCCACAGGGAGCACGGGAAGCCGCCCTCCTTGCACTAACGAGCAAAGACAAAGGTCCCCCCGTTAGCCTGTAATGGACCGTCGAGGCAAGTGCTGTTGGCGAGCGACACCTCTGAAGGGCGGCCTTTCCCACGTGGTGATGTTAGACGCCACGCCAGGCACATAGCGCACAGAGAGAGAGAGAGATGGGAGAACAGCAGATATTGATACGACACAGGCGGTAAGGCATACACACAGAAATAAAAAGACAAAGGTCCCACATTTAGCCCTTAACAGATTGTTAGAGCAAGTGGCTGTAAGAGAGCACCTTTGAAGGGCGGCACAGCACACGAGGGGCTGGGTGGCGCCACACACATACACACAGGGGGAGCGGCGGGTGGCGCGTCGGGCGGTGGGAAATGAAACGAGTCGCTACCTCGACGTCGAAGAGCGTGGCGCCGTACCCCGACCACTCGCGCACGAGCGCCATGTAGAGCGCCATGGCTCGCTCCTGCCCCACGCCGTGCAGCCGCCGCCACTTGTCGACGACGCCGGCGCGCACCGCCTGCTCCTCCTCCTGCACCCACATCTCCAGCGCCGGCGTGGGCGCCTCGCTCGCCGGGCCCGCCGCCTGCCCCTGGCTGTGCCGCCGCTTCGAGTTGGCCCCGGCGCCGCTCGCGCCGCCGCCGCTGCTGTTGCTGCTGCGCCGGCTCCGCCGCAGCGTTCCGTCCAGGAAGCTGGAACGCTTCTTCTCCGGCGGCGGCGGCGGTGGCGCCATCGGTTGGGGCTGCAGGGAGGTGACTTTGGTGGACTGAGTGACGCGAGCCCTGAGGCGGGCCAAGGGGTAGATGTCTTCCAGCGGGGGTAAGGGGGGCAGGCCTGAGGCTGTCGGTGAGGAGGCCAAGGAGGAGGAGGAGGATGATGAGGAAATGGCGGACGAGGAGGGGGAGGAGGCGGACGAGGAGGGGGAGGAAGCGGGGAGCGAGGCCAGCACCAGGTCGCCCAACGCGTACTGCAGGCGCAGCGCAGACAGCTGCTGCAGCGTCTCGTCCGGAGCCGGGAAGTGGCCGCTGATGACCGTCTCGTGGGCCTGGGGGGGACGCGCGGCGTTAACGTCAACGTGACATCACCATCGCCAAAGCATCGCCATCACGACATCGCTGCAATATCACCCTCACGGTGATATCACCATCACCACCACCACGACAACATCACCCTTAAAATGCCGCGAGGAAATCACCAGAACCAAATCGGCATTGTCATTGCTCCTCCTTTCCGTTGAAGGAGCACAGACCACAGCGGGTTCACTGTGCGGTCCGTCGCGTGGGTTGCATGGCCACGGCGGGTTCACTGTGCGGTCCGTCGCGTGGCACTCCTGTGGCTGTGTCTCTGATGAGGATGCACACACACCCGATAACGCCGGGCCGTTTGCTTATCGTTGGAGTGACCCGTGCATCGGAAACGATGACATCGCCGTCTCACCTGCTCGAACATGAACGCGAACTCGACGCTGTCGGGCGCCACGCTGTGCGTGTCCAGGAAGCAGTAGAGCTTGAAGTAGAGCTGAGCACCCTGGCCCCCCACACTGCCCCCCGCTCCTCCACCAGGATCCTCCACCTCCCGCAGCCCCCGCTCGTCCGCCAGCCTGTCACGCACACAAAGACAAAGACCCTCCCGTGTAGCCTTAACAGACTATTTGGGGCAAGTTCTGTTAGCGAGCACCTATTAAGGCCGGCACAACACACGAGTGGGTGGGTGGCCAGCACCACGCCCGGCCGCCTTTGTCTCCCCAATGGCGATGTTTTTACACACCACACCAGGTACTCGTTTGAGGCTGAGTCGACCTAGGAGAGGCCCAGGACTGGTTCAGATAAATGTTACTGGTGTTGGCCGTGAGCCAGAATCGAACTCGGCACGCCGGGTTCGTAGCCCAGCGCGGCTCACCGCTACACTACCGCTCTGCACGCACGTATACGCACACACACATACACACACACACACGCACACACACACAAATACACACGCACGCATGTATACGCACGCACACACATGTACACCCATGCACGCACGCACGTGCACACGAACGCACGCACGTATATATTACGTGCGTTGTTATTATTTGTATCCCTGTTGTCATCATGCTCTTCTCACAATCCTCCTCCCGTACTCGGAGCATTCAGCAAAGTGAGAATAATAATAATAATATCTAGTGTGAAGTCGTTGTTTTTTGTATATTGTCTAGGCTTTAAACGAGAATGACATTCACAGGAGCGATGGGGGGTGGCGGTCGTGAAGCGCACCTCTCGAAGCCGGCGAGCACGTCGGCGACGAGGGCGCGCGCCTCCACGGCGCGGTCGGTGCCGTCGCGGCGCTCGAACAGAGAGAACCAGTTCCGGCTCTCCACCATCGCCAGGCCCCGCAGCAGCTTCTCCACCACCTGGCCACGCACGCACGCGCACGCGCACACGGACACGCGAACGTAACGTGCACCTGCTGCCGTGCGCAAACATCATCGTCGGCGTTCGCAGGCGGTCACTGACGGCGCTCGCCGCGACGACGCGTCGAACCGTGGCGCTGAGGGGGCCCGCACCTCGCCGGCGGTGGTGTAGGGGTGCACGGAGATGCGGCAGGCCCCGCCGCCGTGGCAGTGCACCGTGGCGCTCATCTCGGCGCGTGCCATCACGGCGCGCAGCTCGGCACGCGAGGGCACCGCCTCGCGCGGCCGCGAGCGCCGCAACGCGTCCTGGATGAACGCGCAGAAGAGGTCCAGTCTCCGAGCCGGCGTGATCCTCGCGCGTGCTGCTCACGCGCGGACACACGCACACGCACACACAAACACGTAAACACCCACACGTACACACGTACACACGTACACACGTACACACGCACACACGCACGTACACACACGCACACACAAACACGTAAACACGCACGTGTACACACGCACATGTACACGCACACGTACACACGCATGCATGCACGCGTACGCTTTAAGGCACAGGCAGATACGTCTGCCATTGAGAGATTATGCTCTCCGACAGCGCTGATGCTTTTAAGTCCCGTCTAAAAACCACATCTTTTAAAAACAGCTTTCTTCTAATGGCCTACATTCCTCCCTGGCTCTGCTCTTGCCGCCCGGTTCTTTCTTTGTTATCGTTGTCCTTGTGACACACGGCGCCTTGAGACATTGTGAAAGGAATATAAGAAGTGTAAATCATTATTACTATTACTACTGAAGCGTACGCTAACCCCAACAACTTTACTCCGACCCTCGATCCCAAACTCCCCCCTCTTATTCTCAACTCCAACTCCCAACCCCTGAGCAAACATGCCGGCCCCCCAAAACTCCGTGACGGGGCGCCCCCCCCCCCCCCCCACCACTGCGTGCGCCCACCGCTTGAGGTGGATCTTGAGGTAGCGCAGCACAGCGCGACCGGGCGGCAGGGCGCAGACGGCGCACGCCAGCGCCTGCCAGAGGCGCAGCGCGGCGGCGGAGCCGGGCGCCGGGTGGGCGCTCGTCTGCTTCACCAGCTGCAGGTAGAGCTCGTCGCGCAGCGGCCGCAGGTGGCGGCACGCGCGCAGCAGGGCCTGCACCGGCGGCACGGGGTCGGCGGCCGTCTCCAGCTCCTGCACCCGCTGGAACAGGCGCACCGCCTCTTCCTGCAGCCTCCCGTAGCCGCACTCTCGCTGCACTACGGGGGGGGGGGAGGGGTAGGGAGGGAGATTTTTGGAAACGTCTTGTCACCGGGACACTGGCACACATGGCCTACTCTTTCTACTTCTTGGCTCTAACCGCGACCCTCTGGAACAAGCGGTAAACGCGGTGTGTGTTGCGTAATGCGGGGTGGGTCACGTGATGCGGCGTTTGTCACGTGACGCGGCGGGGCTGCTCTGGGAGCTCACGGGAGAGGCTTGCGTCGCCGTAGGGAAGGGGCAGCAGTGGCGAGTGCAGCGCGTGCGGCGAGTAGCGCAGGATCGGGTTGCGTCGGTAAATCTGCTCCACTATCTCCGGATTCGCACTGTTGTCCTGCACGAGGGGGGGAGGGCGGGGTCAGGAGATCATTATCATCATCATCATCATCGTCGTCATTATCAACAACATCATCAACAACATCAACATCATCATAGTCACCAACATCGTCAACATCGTCAATCCTTCCTGCAGAATCACCAACACCACCGCCACGCTCATAGTAATCTCCACCACGATCACCAGACCACATAGCCGGGCACGGACACATGTGTGTGCATGCATACATGCGCGTGCGTGTGCAGGGAGCAGCAGGTGCTTGCGTGTGCACGTGTGTGTACATATGTGCGTGTGTGAGGAGCGGTGGCGCAGCGGTTAGCGCACCACACTTCACCTGTATTCGAACCACATCCACAGTGGCGAATATCTGAAAGTGAGTACCTGGTGCAGTGTCTAAAAGCATCAGCACCGACGAGAAAAAGGCGGCCAGGCCGTACCGGCCTTCTTTAAGTGCTCGGAATCAGCACTTGCCCCGACATTCTGTTGAGGCTACGGAGGAGGGGTGGGGGGGGATCTGTGTGCGCGTGTGCTCGTGTGCTCATGTGCCCACCCTGATCTCCTGGATGAGCTGCTGAGTTGGCGTCTCGACGGGAACCTTGGAGTCGATGACCGACTGCACCGAGTCGGCCCAGCGCGACGCCTCGCTCTGCAGCCGCGTGTAGAGGCGGCACGAGTGCTTCCTGCCGTGCACCACGACGCACCAGTAGCCTGGGCGGCACCGTCACCAACACCGGCACGGAACGTCAACGCCCGACGCCGTCAACACGAGCCGCGTGGACGGGTTGCACGAGTGCTTCCTGCCCTACACCACGACGCAGCAGTAGCCTGGGCGGCAACCTCGTCAACCAACACAGCATCAACACTCAACGCGGAATATCGACTTTCAAAGCTGACGCCACCAAAGGCGGCCACATCGTGAGTGGAGGCCGATGTCGTCCAATGGCTGCGCTCGCGATGCCGGCGACCAAATCACTGGCGGGGGGCATGGATCGTTTGGACGCTAAGGCGACAATCACAGACTTGAGTAATTGCGACACTCCGTGTGGGCATTGGCCAATGTACGGATTCATCATTTCCGAAACGGGGAGGGGCATCGATGGCTCGCTCGGTTCTCATGTGACGATGCAGTTCCTTTTTGCCCCGATTTCTACGCGTTCCATCGCCGCGCTATATTTTTTACTTCTGCTTTTGTTCGCGTCAATTTTCTCGTGAACCCTGCGTCACTCTCGTGAACGCCAGCGAACCCAGCCGGCGTTTCTCTTGATGATCGCTACGCTCCGAGCGGCGGACACGACCCCGGCGGCTGGCTCTGCGTTGCGGTGTCACGGCCGTACCTGTGGTGTCGTCGTGCTGGCTCACGGAGCACAGGCTGTTGAGCACCAGCGTGCCCAGCTTGGGGGCGGCTCGCTCCGCGTTGCGGTAGCAGTCCAGCGAGTTGTGCGTGAGCACGAACCAGCGCTTCTTGAGCTTGGGGACGGCGCCGCTGTGACCGCTGCGGGCACTGCCGGCCTTCCCCTCCTTGTGCAGCCAACCTGCGCAGGCGGGAGATGCGGGGGGCAAAGCGGAGGAGCGCGAGAGTCACAGAAGCATCGCGGCGCCGAGGACCGCACAGCGCGAGCGGCCGGAGCAATCACGGACAGCGCCATCGCCGTGGCTCTCGCGTCGCTTGTTCTGCAGCGAGCGTGCGCGTCCACATGTGATGGCGTGAGGGTTGGGGTGAGCAACGTTTGTGAGTCGGCGATTGAGAGGGTGAGCAGAGGTGGGATGGAGGGGGTGACCAAGTCAGTGATATGGCAGCGAGCGAGCATGTGCCTCAGCGAGTGAGTGTGTAAGTGTGTGGCTGAGCGGGAGAGTCGGGGAGTGAGGGAGCGATTGAATAACAGAGTGACGAGCTCGCGAGCAGTGAACGAGCCAGCAAGCAAGTGCTCGTGCGAGCGAGCGAGCAAACCACGTGGCGAGCCCCCCACGAGCTGGGGACTCTCACCGCGCACAATGAACTCCTGTCCGTCGACACGCGCATCCCCCTTGCTGCGCTGCAGCAGCGCGATCCAGTGGTGCATCTCCTCGGCTGAGTCAGCGTTACACTGCAGCACGCGCTCGGCCGTGATGATCACAAACCCGTGCGGCCTGCGGTTACGCACGCAATAACATATGCACGCAATTACACACCCACACGCACACAGCCATAACCACTAGCCCCAACTCCTAACGCCAATCCCATCCCCTACATCAATTCCCAACCACTTACCCAAATCCCAAACTCGAATCCCGGCACCATTCCTAACCCCAACCCCTAACCCGAAATCTAAATCCAACACCAGCCACATAACCCCAACCCCAAGCACCAGACCCGAACCCCAGCTCTAGCCACGACCCTGGCGGCACAGCCCCCGTAGTGGCTCCGGCGGTGACCCTTACCGGTCGGGGTTGTCGGACGCGCACACCGAGTCGATGACGCCCACGTCCATCGTGCCCTGCGGACACACAGCAGGGTCACGGCACGTCACCACATGTCACCCCATGTCATAGCGTGTCGCTACGTCTCACCACGCGTCACCGCAGATCTCCGAATCAGCCGAACGGCATTATGAACCTAACCGGGCACAAGAGTCGTGGCGGTGACGTCACCGGAACTTAAGAGCAAACGACGCCTGTTGTTGTTGTTGATCTGCGTGTGTGTGCATTGTCTGTGTGTGGGCGCGTGTGCGTGCGTGTCGATGTGTGTGCGTCTCACCACCGCATTCTTGGGGTTCGCCTGCTCGCTGTGCATCAGCTGCAGCTCCTTGTCTGATGCAGCGTGGACTCGGCTCAAAATACTGAACCACTCGCTACACACGCACGGGCACCAACGCACATCAACTCAGGGACACACACCACAGACATGCACGCATACGCACGTGCTCACACACATGCACGTGAACTCAGAAACACACACACACGCTTGAACTCGGGAACACGCACACGCGCACACACGCCTAAAATCCAGCACTGTCGAGACAAGATTGGTGGATCACACGGGGGGGAGGTAGGGGGGAGGGAGGTAGGGGGGGAGGGAGGGAGGGGGGAGGGAGGGGGGAGGGGGGGGTTGTCACCTGGCGTCCTCGGGAGACTCAGCGACCAGGTGGTACTTGCGCTCGTTCATCACGATGTCGATCCCATTTTCCCGGCCCCCACCATCCAGGATCTCCCTGCAAAGACAAAGCTCCCCCGTTAACAGACTGTCAGGGCAAGTGCTGTTCATGAGTCGTACCTGTGAAGGCCGGCACGGCAAGCGAGGGGTTGGGTGGCCAGCACCACGCCCGGCCGCGGCGTAGTCCCGTTGAGCGCAGTGCAGCGCAGTGCGGTGCGGTGCTACTGTGCAGTGCTACTGTGCAGTGCTTTGTCGCAACGCGTGGACGCTGCGGCCGCACCGTGCGGCGTGCACGCTGACGGTGCCGCGGGGCTTCTCCTCGGCGTCGCCGTCGTAGTAGGTGAGCACGGCGCCGCGCAGCACGAACCAGCGGCGCTTCCAGCTGCGGCGCGACAGCGTGGAGGCGCCGCCGCCCTTCTTGAGCAGCCAGCCGGCCTTGAGCGCCTCCTGCTTGGCGCGGAACCAGAGGAACGTCTCGTCCTTGAGCACGCACCAGCGGCGGCGCCACGCGTTCATCAGGCCCCCTGCGGACACCACCATGGAGGAGGAGGACGAGGAGGAGGGTGACAGAGGGAGGACAGTCACAACCACGCACGCATGCACCTGCACGCAGGTAGACAGTGATCCATTATATAAAAAAAACACTTTTGGTGCTTGGCACGATTAAATACTAAATTTCGATTTTAAGCTTTCGTGATTGCAGGGATTCATCTTCTTGGTTCTTCTATAATTATTTTATTATGTTGTATTTTTTATTATTTTATTATTTCCCTTCTACGTGACTTTACCGAAAGAACCAAGAAGATTAAATACTAATTACTGTTTGTCTTGGCCATGTCAGTTTCAGTTTCATTTATTAGGTATAGCCCTGTGAGCCATTCGGCTCTTGAATCGGGTGCAACCGCAAAAAAAAAATATATGAACAAGAAAACATCTTCAAGTGACTATGTGCAAACAGAAAAATCCAGGAAAAAACTGCAAAGTCTTTTTATACTCGTCACAATGATCATTAGCAAATGATTAAGTTAAAGGTTGTTTGAGTATGTTGTCTTGTGATCGAACGTAGCACGACAGACAGGAGTCGAACTTGACTTGAGAGCGACGTAACCATCAGAACCCCGTTGGCTCATAATGCGCCGACAGATGCCCATTGCCCCCCTTGTAGCCATTAAACCGTTAAGCTGCGCTACAACGGGCGCGACACACGAGACCAAACCCACGCACAAACTATCGCTCGCTCCATAAAAGGCAAAGAGATTGATGGCCAAACTGTGGGAGGTTTAATGAAAAATGTGCAAGGTCTCTCATTGTCTCACAAAAGAGAGAAAAAAAAACACTTATCTCTCTCATGGGAAACATCCGATGAGGATTAAAAGTAGAATGTGCAGAACGGCCGGACGGAGACCGGAGGAAGATCGAAGGCCAGACAGCCAGACAGCACCCAGACAGCAGCCAGACACCACCAGACACCCAGACACCACCAGACACCCAGAGAGGGCCCAGACAGCCAGGGGCAGCCCTGGTGTTCACGTTGGCCGGGCAGCGTACGCTCCCCCCCCCCCTCCCCCCCCCCCCCCCCCCCGTTATCGCGAGTCTGCCCTCCATAGAAATCGTGCACTGCACAAGAACGGCTGAAACTCCGTCGTGGTAAAGCAGCAGAGAAGCTGTGGTACAGCAGTTGAGAATCTGGACAATAAGGTTGTCTTCTGCCATTGTGAGTGGGCAAGCGGGTGGCAATATAAGATGGTGAGTCAGCGAGTAGATAAGCGGGTAAGTGCTAGGATGCATGGGTGAGTGAGTGAGAGGGCAAGTGAGTAAGCAGGTGATTGAGTAAGTGGATGAGCGAGTGAGCGGGTGAGTGGGTACCCTTTATGGAGAGGAAGCTGTGGAAGTAGGGAACGCCCACGGAGCTGTAGATAGCCTCCCTCCGCCCAAACTCCTCGCTCAACAGGGACTCCAACTCATCCTCGCTGTCCTCCAGCTGAACACATGCATACAAAGGCAAAGACCACCCATGTAGCCTACACGGTGATGTTGGCGAGCACCTATGAATGTTAGCATGATACACTAACAAGCGGGTGATGAGGCCAGCACCGTGCCCGGTGTTGGCCGGGAGCGGGAATCCAACTCAAGTCGCCGGGTTCGTAGCGCGGCGCGCTAACCGCTACACCCACCACCACTCCCCAGCAGGCACGCGTGCGCACACGCACACGTTAACCGGTTTCACGTACACATGTTAACCGGTTTCACGTACACACGTCGTACATTCACAGTGCAGGAGGATCTGCGCGGCGTAGTGACACGCGCGGTGTGACGCTGTGCGGTGCGACCATGCACGGTGCGACATTATGGGACGTGCATCGTGTAACACGTGTGATGCACGGTGTGGTGCACGGTGCAGCGTGTGTGCTGCACGGTGCGGCGTGTGTGCTGCACGGTGCGGCGTGTGTGCTGCACGGTGTGCTGCATGGTGCGCGACGCGGCGCTCACGGAGGAGGTGCGCCCCTCGGAGAGCGAGCGGTAGGTCCCCGAGCTGGTGTACGTGCCCAGCGAGAGCCGCGACTCCCCCGATGCCGAGTGCTGGCGCGCGTGCGCCGCCCGGCCCCCGCGGCGCATCGACACCGCCCCCCCGGCCCCGCCCCCCGCCGCCCCCCCCCCGACGCGGGCGGCCCGGCCCCCGCTGCCCTCGTCGCCCTCCTCGTCCTCCTCCTCGAAGTCGAGCTCCTCTGCCTCTCCGCCGGCCGGCCTCACCTCGTCCGCCCAGATCTCCGAGCAGCGGCCCGCCGAGGCTGCTCGCGGCCACGGAGAGGAGGCGGGGGGGGGGGGGGTTAGCGACTGGTAACGCGTCACGTGGCACCATCCCACCACTGTACTCTACTATTATACAGAAAGACAAAGATCCCCCCCGTATAGCCTTAACAGGATGTTGGGGCAAGTGCTGTTAGCGAGCAGCACCTATGAAGGCCGGCACGGCACCTGAGGGGAGGGGGGGGGGGTGGCCAACACCCCACCCGACATCACATCAGGTATTCATATTTGAGGCTCAGTCGACCTATTGGAGGCCCAGGACTGGTTCAGATAAGCGGAAACAAAACTCTGCTCGCCGGGTTCATAGCTCGGCGCGTGCACGCCATGCTCGCGCCTATAACACGCCGCCCGACATAAACCAGACTATTGGCCACGCCGCTCCACACAATTCAACATCAACGGTGCACCACACCAGTGCACACCACGCCGCTCGCTCGGCACGACACGCGCCGAGAGCCAAACCACCCACGCGCTGCACCGCTCCACAAGAACGGCATCAAAGTTGTGCCCAAGGGGAAGAGCCGGAGCCGGGCGGAGGGGAACTCGGACCTTGGAGGCCGGCTCTCAACTTTGGCAACAACCACAACGAAAGAAAGAAGGAAAGAATTCACGAGCTCCACCGAATTCACCGAGGTGAACGGCCACAGGCAACTCACGCACGGCTTCAGCGACGTAGCCACTGAAGCCGGGCGTGTGCAGGCCGTGCGCCGGAGCCAATGGGCCGGAGGGGGCGGGCGGGGGGGGTCCCCCCAGGCTACGATATACAAAATACATCTGGGCATCGGAGCGATCGAGATGCATGGCGCTTTGAATCGCTGCGGCGCTTAAGCGAGTGTCCCGCATCCGCTATTCCTCGCACTAAGGCCCATGCCGTAGCCACGGGATGCCACTGCCCAGGCTGCGTTCCCTCGCTAGGAGCTGACGTTCCACCCCCCCCCCCCCCCCCGCTCACTTGGAGGCGTCGGGTCGGGAGGGCCGGGCGCGGCGAGCTGAGCGGGCCAAGCGGCGGCAGGGGGGAGCAGGTACAAAGCCCCGTCTGCCTCGGACGACCCCCCGCTGGCACGCTGACCCCCGGCGCTCGGCTCGCCCTGACCCCCCCGCTCACTGGGGTTCGGAGAATCTGGGGTAGACGGAAAGCGAAGAGCGTCGCTCATCCAGAGCTCCCCATCCGGTGGCGCTAACTACGGCTCGCCGGAAACGCTTGGACACGCACGAGAATCACCTCTCAGAACCCGGACTCACTCGCTGGAGTGACCCACTGCTACGCCCGCTCGTCAGCGTCCGCCACTCGCGACCGTTAACGCCACCTTTATCACCGCCCGGTGGCCGCCACTAACGCTGCCACCACTACTGGTGCAACATCGTCGTCGTCAGTGCACGCAGAGGTCACAGAAAGGTCACGTGGAGATAAAAAGTCGCAAGTCGGGGTCGAAACTAGGGCATGTAGACATCATGCAGAGGTCAAGTTGAGGTCACAGAAAGGTCACGTGGAGATAAAAAGTCGCAAGTCGGGGTCGAAACTAGGGCATGTAGACATCATGCAGAGGTCAAGTTGAGGTCACAAGGAGCTTATGTAAATATTGTGCAGAAATCACATGGGCAGGGGGGGTGTCATGCGGAGGTCATAGAGGACTCACGTAGGGAGGGTCATATGGAGGTCATATGGAGGTCATGTAGAGGTCAAGAGCAGGTCACGTGGAAGTCGCGTACGAGTTCACGTTGAGCGGTGTGGCTGACCTTTGAACCCGTCGTCGCCGGCAACGAAGCCCTCGTCCTCCTCGTCGTGGGGGGCGGGGGGGAAGGGGTCGAGGAAGCGGGGGGGCTTGGCGGGGGGCGGCCCGTCCCCGAGCTCGTAGAGGCCGAGCTCCATCACAAACTCCCGCGCCGCCTGCAGGGCCTCCAGCTCCAGACGCTCCAGCTCCTCTTCCTCCCCACCCGCGCACTGGCAACCATCGCCACGGCAACAGCAACCACGACGACGAACGCCACCGCAGAAACAACAACCGTTGCCCCGGTGAGAATCACCGTAGTGATAAGACTCAGCCATAGCAACACCAGCGACACGAACGTGTACGGCCATTTTGCACATGAACGTGTACGGCCATTTTGCCAATCCACTTCTGGATGAAGGTCTCCGCCTCATGCCGTACGGATTATGGGGGTTGTTTGACCATACTTCCAGTGTGGGTTGGTGAAGGCGTGGAGTACAGACATCAGACCACAGCAGAGTACAACAACATCACTTGCTGCGCTGCACTGTGCTGCCCACAACGAGTGCACGGCGGTCGGCTACACAGCAACTATCCAGGCTCAAACTGCTTAGCTTCCGAGATGTTGATTTCGTCACCAGCAGCGAGATGTAGCTCCAGTGAAAATCACTGATGTTAGCCCTGTCAACAAGGTCATGGTGCTGCGCGCTAACCGCTACGCTACCTCTCCCCGCACACACAAAGACAAAGCCACACAGCCAATAAGTTGCCGATGTCCCCTACCTGGGGTTCTGGCTGGAGGTTGGCCTGGCTGAGCAGGGTAGGTGGCGGGGGCAGCTCCATGGTTGACGCTTCAGCTTGGCTGCCCCCAACACCGTGGGCAGCTCGGGCATTCTGGGAGTGCCGCCACCTCCGGCGGCTCCTGCAGCTCTCCTCCTTCGTCCTGGGCGCCCGGCTTCGCAGGCTAACGGGGTTATCATGGACACCGCATGAGCGCTACGTTCACTCCACTCTTATTTTGAGTGTGTGCGTGTGTGTTTGTCCACGTATGTGGGTATGTGCGTGTGCGTGTGTCTGCGCCGCACCGCGTGCGCTGCCCCGTGCTGGCTGCGGATCAGCTGGAGCTGCTCGCGGCCGTCGCGGCTGAGCCCGGCCTCGCGCTCGCGCTGCTCCCGCTGCAGGCGGGCGATCTGTCGCTCCAGGAGCAGGATCTCCCGCAGGCCGCCCCCACCGGGGTCACCACCAGGGTCACCATCGGGCTCCGCTTCCTCCGCCGGCAAACCACGCGCCGCCGCCGCCGCTGCCGCCTCCTCCTCCAGCAGCAAACGCGTCTCCAGCTCCCTCTGTAATATGGTGAGCGACGACATAGCCCACGCTGCCACCGTCACCGCACACACGGCCTTCACCTACACCACAACCACCACCGCCGTCTTCATACGGCGGTGGCGGTCTTCATATCCATCAACGTCGCAGTCTACCACCGTCACAACCCCTACCGTCATGTTCACCGTACCCCACCGATACCCAAATTATCACAGCCATAACCACCAACTCTTCATCAATATCAACGTTCTAGTTATTGAGAACCCCCCTCCCCACCCCGTGACCGCCCTTCCCCCACTCCGTGACCCCCCCCCCCTCCATGCCAGTCACCCTCTCTCACCCGCTTGGCCGCCTCCTCTCTCTCCAGCCGCTCCCTCTCCCTGCGCGACACAAGCAGATCGACAATCAGCAGCAGCAGCAGCAGCACGCGTACAGCGACAGTGTCGTGGGGTTAGCGCTCTTCGCTGGTTGGCTAGTTGGGTAGTGGTGGGGCTAGCGATAGCCGCTGGTGCTAGGGGGAGCCACTCGCGTTGCCCTGGCTAACAAGGTCCTCCTGCAAGCTGCTGCACCGCACGTTCTATACAAACATGATTTAAACAGCTTGTTTAATCTCGTATTTCTGTGTCGCACCACCGCCCCTTGCCACACCATCACTCCTAGCCACACCTAGCCACACCACCACAATTAGCCACGCCGGCTCCTGCCGCCACCACCGCTGCTGCCGCTGCTGCTGCTGCTGCCGCTGCTGCTGCCGCTGCTGCTGCTGCTGCCGCTGCTGCTGCTGCTGCGAGCCAACGCAGCGCTCACCTGTCCTGGCGCTCCTTCTCCTCGGCCCGGATCCGCCGCTCGTGCCGCAGGGCGGCGCAGCGCCTCCTCGCCAGCGCCCCCCGCCGGAGACGCTGGGTGGTGAGCGCCGCACGGCGCCAGCGCAGGAAGCGCACGCGGCACAGGCGCCCGCGCAGCCAGCGCTGCAGGAGCAGCGCGCCGGCGCGCACTGCGCTGTACCGACGCCTGCGCCAGGCGAAACGCACGCACGGAGGCAAAGATAAAGATCCCCCCACCCCGTATGGCCTGTAACAGACTGTCGGGGCAAGGTGCTGTCAGCGAGCGCCTATTGACGAGGCACACGAGAGAGTGGGTGGTCAGCACCACGCCCCGGCTGATGATCACACACCGCATTAGGGTACTCATTTAATGCTGAGCCGACCGAGGCGAGGCCCAGGACCGGTTCACACGTGTGCGAACCGGTGTGTGCGTATGTGCGTGTGGACGTGTGTGTGTGTGTACGTGTGTGCGTACATGTGTGTGTGCGTGCGTACATGTGTGTGCGTACGTGTGTGTATGTGCGTGTGTACGTGCGTGTGTGCGTACCGGGCAAGTAGGCCGCGTGCGTGAGCTTGGATGGCGATGGCCGCGCGTGTGAACGCCGCGTCGCGCTCCGTCTCCAGCCGCAGCTCCAGGCTCTCGCGCAGGAACACCTGCAGTACGGGCAGCACTATCAACATGGGCAGCATGGGCAGCGCGGGCAGCATGGGCAGCACAGGCATCACCATCAACATGAGCAGCACTGTGAACATATGCGTGTTGGCACAGTGCTGGTGCATCTGTCAGCCATCTCAATCAGTCAACCCATGGCACCTGGGTCTGTTCCGCGACCTCCTGCCAGCGGGTGTTCGACACTTCACGTGGCCTTAAAGTGCACCTAGGCTGGCACAGGTACCGTGGTGACATCACCGCCACTTGGTAGCGAATGGCGGTTATTGTTGTTGTTTGTATGTGTGTATGTATGTGCGTATGTGTTCCTCAACAGCCTGCTAAGGCTTTGCGGGGGATCTTTGTCTTTTCTATTTTATGTGTTTTATGCGTATGTGTGTCTACGTGTGTGTACATGTGTGTACGTGTGTGTATACGTGTGTGTACGTGTGTGTGCGTGTGCGTACATGTGTGCATACGTGTGTGGGCATGTGTGTACACACGTGTGCATGTGTACACGCGTGTGCATGTGCGTTCGTATGTGTTTGTTCATACGTATGCGTGCGCACGTGTGTGTACACGTGTGTGTGTATGTGCGCGTGTGTACACGTGTGTGTGTACACGTGTGTGTACACGTGTGTGTACACGTGTGTGTGTGCGCACGTGTGTGTGTACACGTGTGTGTACACGTGTGTGTGTACACGTGTGTGTGTACACGTGTGTGTACACGTGTGTGTGTGTGCGCACGTGTGTGTGCGCACGTGTGTGTACACATGTGTGTACACGTGTGTGTGCGCACGTGTGTGTGCACACGTGTGTGTGCGCACGTGTGTGTGTGCACGTGTGTGTACACATGTGTGTACACGTGTGTGTGCGCGTGTGTGTGTACACGTGTGTGTACACGTGCGGTAGTGTAGCGGTTAGCGCGCTGCGCTATGAACCTGGCGACCCGGGTTCGATTCCCGCTCACGGCTAACACCAGTGACGATTATCTGAACCGGTCCTGGGCCTCCCCTAGGTCGACTCAGCCTTAAATGAGTACCTGGTGCGGTGTGTAAACATCGCCACTAGGGAGACAAAGGCGGTCGGGCGTGGTGCTGGCCACCCACCCCCTCGTGTACCGTTCCGGCCTTCATAGGTGCTCGCTAACAGCACTTGCCCCTACAGTCTGTTCAGGCTATACGGGGGATCTTTGTACACGTGTGTGTACACGTGTGTGTGTGCGCACGTGTGTGTTTACGTGTGTGTGCACGTGTGTGTGCGCGTGTGTGTACACGTGTGTGTACACGTGTGTGTGCACGTGTGTGTGCGCGTGTGTGTGTACACGTGTGTGTACACGTGTACACACACGTGTGTGTCCACGTGTGTGTATGCGTGTGTGTGTACACGTGTGTGTGTACACGTGTACACACACACGTGTGTGTCCACGTGTGTGTGTGCGTGTGTGTGTACACGTGTGTGTACACGTGTGTGTGTGCGTGTGCTGTTGGCTGCGTGCCCGTGCCTTAGTCTTGCCGAGCTGCCACAGCGTGCGCGTGGGGTCAAAGGTTGCGAGCAGTCCCTCGCACCGAGCGCGCTCATCGTCCGGCAGAGACATCGGGCGGCACAGTGCGGCGTACCTAGGTGGGCAAAGACAAAGATCCCCCGTGTAGCCCACACAGACCGTTGGTGCAAGTGCAATTAGGCAGCACCCATGAAGGCCGACGCGGCACGTGAGTGGGGTGCTGTGGATAGCCCCTCGCTCGGTCGCCTTTTTCTCCCCCGTGGTGATGTTTACCACCGCCCTATTTACTCATTTAAGGCCAAGTCGACCTAGGAGATACTACAACAGCCCTGGTTCAGATAACCGCCGCTGATATTGTCCGTGAGCGAGTTTCGAACCGGGGTCGCCAGGTTCGTAGCGCAGCACGCTAACCGCTACACCACCGCTCCCCACAAACTTTGACATACACACCGACACGCACACATACACACCGACACGCACACACAAACATAGCACATACACACTGACACACACACATACACACGCAACACTGAGAGACGGCGCATACACACGGACATGCACACGCACAAACGTGAGTGTATGTGAGTGTGTGTACGTGGGCGTGTATGTACGTGTGTGTGCGTGTACGTGCGAGTGTGAGTACATGGGAGTGTATGTACGTGGGTGTGCGAGTGTGTGTGCGTGTGCGTGCGAACGTGTGTATGTGATGAATGTGTGTACGTGCGAGTGTAAGTTCGAGTGTGTGTGCGTGCGTGTGAGTGTGAGTGTGCGTGTGTGTGAGTGTGCGTGCGTGCGAGTGTGTGTGCGCGTACGAGTGTGCGTGCGAGCGGGCGAGTGTGTGCGTGCGAGTGTGTGAGTGTGCGTGCGTGAGTGTGTGTGCATGCGTGCGTGCGAGTGTGTGTGCGTGCGAGTGTGTGTGCGTGCGAGTGTGTGCGTGCGTACGAGAGTGTGTGCGTGCGTGCGAGTGTGTGCGTGCGAGCGTGTGCGTGTGTGTACGTGCGAGTGTGAGTACATGGGAGTGTATGTACGTGGGTGTGCGAGTGTGTGTGCGTGTGAGTGGGCGTGCGAACGTGTGTATGTGATGAATGTGTGTACGTGCGAGTGTAAGTTCGAGTGTGTGTGTGCGAGCGTGCGTGTGCGTGCGAGTCTGCGTGCGTGTGAGTGTGCGTGCGTGTGTGCGTGCGTGCGAGTGTGTGTGCGTGCATGCGAGTGTGTGCGTGCGAGTGTGTGTGCGTGCATGCGTGCGTGCGAGTGTGTGTGCGTGCGAGTGTGTGTGCGTGCGAGTGTATGCGTGCATGCGAGCGGGCGAGTGTGTGCGTGCATACGAGATTGTGTGCGTGCGTGCGAGTGTGTGCGTGCGAGCGTGTGCGTGTGCGTGTGCGAGCGTTACCGGCCGGTGAAGTCGAGGAAGCGCCGGCGCACGGGGAAGCCGGAGCGGCGGATGCGCACCGTGTGGAGCATCCCCGAGTAGCGCAGCTGGTTCAGCACCAGAGTGGGCTCGAAGCGCGCCGACATCTACCTCGCACAACAACAACAACAACCACCACACTGAACAACAAACGAATCACACTAAACAAATAAACCACAACAACGCACGCACGGCACTTACGCCATTGCCAGCGCTTCTTAGGGGACGAGCGCCGAGTCGCGGAGCACAGCTGAGCGCGAGAGGCTCGCTCGCTGTGCCCAGCTCGCTGTGCCACACCCAGCGCTCTCAAGACATCCCGACTCTCTCCTCCGCTCGCCTCTCTCCCCCTCCCGTTTCCCTCCCCCTTTCTCCTCCTCTCTCCTCCTCTCTCCTCCCCCTCTCTCCTCCTCCTCCTCCACCGGTAGCCCAGCATCCCCCCCGTGTCCCCGTGTCTCCCCCGAGCCTCCTGTTTCTCCTCCGCCCCTCCACGCCCTCCCTGTCCCCGTGCCCCCGAGTTTCTGCATCGCCGTACAACTTGCGTCTCTGCGTCCCTCCCTCACTTCTCTTCTCCCTGCAACTTGTGTCGCCGTGTCCCCAGGTCGCCTCGCTCCCGCACAATCACGTTCTTCTCTGCATCCTCGCGGCCCCCCCCCCCCCCACTCTCGTCCTTGTGTAACTGTGTCTTCGTGGCCCTGCGTCCCCACGTCCCCCGTGGGTGGGGGGATTGGGGGTGGGGGAATCACGCTGTGGTGGCCCTCGTCCAGTGCTTGTCAATCACCCGCTGTTGTTTAACCGCCCAAGGGGCACAAAGGGTACTCGCTCTCCCCGGCTCACGGAGCCCCGCGGGCCGAGCCACGCGAAGCACGAACGCCAACGCGGAGCCCCGACTACAGACGCTCCCCTTCAGCCGTCCGCAAAGAGGGGGTCCCTTGTGCCCGGCGCCGGATGCACCGCCACCCCCCACCCAGCACAGACGGCGCATCGCTCCCGGCACAGCGACGCGAGTATCGAGCCGCTCGCGAGGGCGACCCGTCACCCTTGGCGTCGACGACCCCCGACCCGAGAACACGGATGACCCGAAACCCGCGAACACAGGAGGTCCTTGAGTAACGACCGAACCGGAGAATCCTGACGCTTGACGACACTCGCCGCTCACTCCCGGTGCGACGGGGTGAGGGTGCGGGCGAGTGAGCGTGGCCGAGCGTGGGCGAGCGTGGGCGAGTGCAAGGCAGCGCCGGGGACTGCGAGCGTAGCGACAGAGCGCGAGCGTGAGATGGCCTGAGCGAGTGTGAGCGTTCGGGAGGAAGAAAGAGCTCCTGTGGTGAGCGAGCGTGGGTGTACGAGGCTGCGCAAGTGAGCGCTGGTGAGTGACGCTCAGTGTGAGCGAGCGAGTGTCATTGACCGCGTGCGTGCGTGCGTGCGAACGAGTGCGCGAGTGTGAGAATCCAACCGAGTGTGAGTGGAGGTGAATGAGTGTGCGAGTGAGTGACAATGAGACTGAAAGTGCGAGGTTGTGAGTGTGTGTCAGGTCGTGAGCGCGTGTGGGCGAGTAAGCGCGTGTGGGTGAGTGAGCGTGTGTGGGCGAGTAAGCGCGTGTGGGTGAGTGAGCGCGTGTGGGTGAGTGAGCGCGTGTGGGTGAGTGAGCGCATGTGGGCGAGTGAGCGAGTGCATGCCAGCAAGACCTTGTGTACCTCTGCGAAGCGAACGCGACTGTGAGCGTGCACCAGTGAGTGTGCGTACCTTGTCACCGTTGGGCTTGATGCAGCGCACAAAGTATGGGTTGGAGGAGCTCAGAGAGGACATGAGGGCGTGCAGAGAGTCCTGCCACCACAAAGACAAAGATCCCCCGTATAGCCTTTGACACACTGCTGGGGCGAGTGCTGTTAAGCGAGCGACTGTGAAGGCCGAGGGGCTGGGTGGCCAGCACCACGCCCTGGTCATCTTTGTCTCCCCGATGCTGATGTTTACACAACATATCAGGTAATGTTTTATGGCTTGGTTAACCTAGGGGGGGCCCAGGACCGATTAATATATTTTTAGCCGACGTTGGCTGCGAGCGGCGATCCAACTCGAGTCGCCAGGTCCGTAGATCCCGCTGCGCCAACGCTCCCCACACACAACAACAACAACAACCGACGTTGCTACGGCGCTTGTGCCAGGCTAAGTGCACTTCTTAAGGCAACGTGAAGAGTCGAAGTCTCTCTGCCAGGAGGAGGCCATGGGACAGACCCAGTTGCCACGGGTCGACTGACTGATACGTCAGGCAGATGCACCACCTTTTCCCCCTACTGTGCCTTCTCGCTACGTGTTAGCTGCCAGGTCGTTTTAGTAAGGGTTGCTCCTCTGCCCTCCGCTGGTGTTTGAAGGCGACTGCCTCCAACTGCGCAGCAGCGTCCATCGTGAGCCTCCTCCATAGAGGCCCATCTTGACACCGCTGGTAACGGTTATCGGCAAGTCCACTCAGCTCCACATCCTCTCGTGCCACATCACTCCATCTCTTCTCTAGCCCGTGCCACGCCCGTTTGTCCCCCCCCCCCTTCCCTCTATTCGGCTCCCCAAAAAACGAAGACACACACGCGCACATATCTCATGATGTCCGTGGCAAGGGGCCGGGTGTAGTGGTGGTGGTCGTGGTCGCGTGTGCCAAGGGCCGAACCATGTGGTATTGTAGCGGCCTTAACAGGTACAGAGTTGTATCATTTGCCATGGCAGGTGGCTGGTTGTGACAGATGCCATGCCACGTGGCTTGGAAGCTCTGTTACCATGGCGGGTGGCAGAGAACTGCGCTGCTGTGGCAGGCACCTGGGTGCGAGTGCTACCATGTGGTGGGAGGCTGGGTGTAGCGGGTGGTAAGGAGCTTGCTGTGGCGGGCGGCACCTTGAACTGCAAGCAGACCGTGGGCTTGCGGTGCCGCGAGTTGAGTTTGAGGGACTCTTCGGGCGCCGCGCGGCCGGAGCTCGACTCCGACTCGAACAACTCGAACACAAAGTCCATCCTGTGGCACCCACGTGCACAGACGGAGACAAAGATACCCCGTGTAGCCTTAACAGACTGTTGGGGCAAGTGCTGTTAGCGAGCACCCATGAAGGCCGGCATGGCACGCGAGGCTGTGGGTGACCAGCACCACACCCGGCCGCCTTTGTCTTACACTGCACCAGCTGCTCATTTGATGCTGAATCGACCTGAGAGAGGCCCAGGACCGGTTCAGATCATCGTCACTGATGTTAACCACGACGCGACCGCTCCCCCAGACGCGCGCACACACAGAGGACCGACTGACTCAATCATCACCCACAACTCACCCAAGCTACTCAGCACGTGCCAGGCTGGCTCTCTCTCTCAGCACTAACAACATCTGCCGCGTGGAGCAGCAGCAGCGTGGCCACCGCCGCCACCGCCCGGCTCTGTACCTGCTGTCCAGCACGAGGTTGAGGATGTCCTCACGAAACGTGTCTCGGTTCTTCTCCAGGAAGCCCTCCACGGTGTACAGCACCTGGCATGGGGCAAACATCATCAGCAACAATACCAGCACCGGCAGCAATTGGTACCATCGGCAGCGGCGTCATTAAATATGACGAAAACACTTCTGGGCATCTGAATAGTTGAGAAGCTGGGCAAAGGTGGCCACACACCCCCTCGTGTGCCGTGCCGGCCTTCATAGGTGCCCGCGAACGGCACTTGCCCCAACACAGTCTGTTAAGGCTTTAAACGTGATGTGCTTGCAAGTGTCTGTGTGTGGCTGCGTGTCCGTGCGTGTCTGTGAATGCGTGCGTACCTCTCCGGCATAGTGCTTGATCCCAAACTGGTGGTCGGCCACTCTGGGCTTTACGTAGAAGGAGTTGCTCTGAGTGGGACACACACAGACTGGCTCACACCACCGTCTGTACCACCAGCACCAACACCACCACCGCGACACACGGCACCATCGCCACCATCCATACCACCAGCCCAGCACCAACACCACCACCGCTACACACGGCAGCATTACGCCTGGATATTTGGAGTTTGCATGTTTTCCCTGTGGTTGCGTGGGTTTTTCCCCAGGTCCTCCGGTTCTTTTCCCTCCACACTTAAAAACGTGCACTCAGAGTATTTGGCTGCGATAAATGTCCACGTGATAAGCCACTCTGTTGAGCTATCATTTGTGGCCAGGTCGCTTCTGAAAACGGAGCTATGCAGCTCAGTGGGGCCCCTTCCCTGATAAAATAAATGAAATAGTTGTAGTTTCATTACCACCATCCATACCACCAGCACCAACACCACCCATACCATGAGTGGTGAGCGAGTGGTGTGCGAGGGGTGAGCGTGTAAGGTGAGGCTCACCGCGTGCTCCCCGTGGAGCTTGGCGAGCAGCGTAGCGTCCGTGCCCTTGGGGAAGCGGCTCTCCTCGTTCACCAGCGCCAGCAGCCCCAGCTTCTGCAGGGGTCACAGCCGGAGGGGGTAGGGGGGGGGGGTTAAAGGTTAAGGGTTGTAGGGGTCAGGCCAATGGCAGGGATGGAGAGGTAAGGTTAGGAAGCAACGTCGCAGCTCACTCTGCGACGATTCAACAGAGGTCACGACCCGGCGTCACGACTTCGTCCGTTTACCGTCGCGTTTGTAGAGACGGAGGGTTGAGGGGGGTGGGAGGGAGGGAGGGAGGGAGGGAGGGAGGGAGGGAGGGAGGGAGGGAGGGAGGGAGGGAGGGAGGGAGGGAGGGAGGGAGGGAGGGAGGGAGGAGGGAGGGAGGGAGGGAGGGAGGGAGGGAGAGGGTGGGAGGTAGAGGCACAGGCTGGAGAGTGGGGCCCGGAACCTCACCTTCTCCACCAGGTCGAGGCACTCGCTGTTGTCCGTCCAGTTGATGTCTTCCCATGCAATGCCCTCCCTGCACAGCGAGGACACGACCATCATCATCATCACCATCGCCACCGCTCACTCATTACTACTCACCACTACCACCACTCAACACCCAGTACCACTCACGGCCATCACCACTAACTCACTAACACTCACCACTACCACCACTTGACACCCAGTACTACCACCATTCATGACTACCATTACCACCACCACCACCACTCATTGCTACAACTATCACTACGATTAACCAACAGCACTGCATGGCTAGTCACCACGAAGTGGTGATGAGGTCACCACAGCGCTTGTGCCAGGCTAGGTGCACATTGAGGCCGTTTGAAGTGTCGAAGGCTCGCTGACAGGTCATGCGACAGAACCAGGTGCCATGGGTTGACTGACTGAGATGACTAACTGAGATGACTGGCAGATGCACCACCAGTGCTCCCCACTGTTCCCTCCGTTGTTGTTGGAGGGCGACTTCCTCCAACTGCCCAGCAGCATCCTCCACAGAGGCCGATCTTGACACCGCTGGTACCGGTCATCGGCCAAGTCCACTCAGCTCCACATCCTCCCGTACCGCATCAGTGCCCGCTTGACCTCCTCTATCCGGCCAAACAGAAGCTGCTTGGGCGTGTCGCGTGCACAAGGCAAGACCCCCCCCCCCCCCGCATAGGCTTCACAAACTATTGAGCGAGTGGCTGTTAGCGAGTAGCACCCTTGAAGGCCGGCGCGGCACACGACTGCCAAGAGGGGGTGGGTGGCAGCACCGCGCCTCGTGCACAAAGACCACGTGGTGTGGTCACGGTGGGGGGTGCCGATTGGCGCCCCCCACCGGCAGCACCCGGTCCTGCGTGCACCGACACCAACACGACCACTATCACGGACTCACTACCACTCACTACCACTACCACTCACTACCACTCACTACCACTACCACTATCGCTCACTACCACTCACTACCAACCACTACCACGACTACTCACTACCACTACCACGCACTACCACCACCACTCACTACCACGCACTACCACTACCACGCACTACCACTACCACTCACTACCACTCACTACCACTACCACTCACTACCACTACCACTCAATACCACTACCACTCACTACCACTACCACTCACTACCACTCACTACCACTCACTACCACTACCACTCACTACCACTACCACTCACTACCACTACCACGCACTACCACTCACTACCACCACCACTCACTACCACTACCACGCACTACCACTACTGATGGCGACGGTGCTGGTCATGGTGACGGTGGTGACGGTGGTGACGGTGGTGACGGTGGTGGTGGCGATGGTGGAGGCAATGGTGGTGGCGATAGTGCTGGTGGTGTTGACGGTGGTGACAGCTGCGGTGGTACTGGTGGTGGCGGTGATGGTGCTGGTGGCGGTGACGGTGGTGACAGCGGCGATGGTACTGGTGGTGGTGACGGTGGTGGTCGTGGTGACGGTGGAGGCGATGGTGACGGTGATGGTGCTGGTGGTGGTGACGGTGGTGACAGCGGCGATGGTGCTGGTGGTGGCAGTGATGGTGCTGGTGGTGGCAGTGATGGTGATGGTGGCGGTGACGGTGGTGACAGCGGCGATGGTGCTGGTGGTGGCGGTGCTGGGACCTGTTGTACTCGAGCTGCTCCAGTGAAAAGATGTGCGTGTTGAAGTACTCCTGCAGCTTCTCGTTGGCGTAGTTGATGTTGAACTGCTCAAAGCGGTTCACCTGCGACGGACACGCGGTGGTTCAGAGTGCGGCACCGCACCCTGCAGCGCATCGCGGTGTGGCGCTGTATTGTACGGAACGGCAGAGTGTCACGCGGCGTGGTCCAGCGCGGTGCTGTGAGGTGTGACCACACGGCGTGGCTTCAGTTAGAAAGCGAAAGTCGCACGTCGCGACGCACCGCGCAGTTTTCCGTCGATTCAAACGCGCGGGAAACCACAGCCGAGCCACCCACAAGCTCTGTGGGGTCCTACGCTGGAATGCATTTCGTCGTCAACTCCATGAATGCGCGAGGAAATCGGCAGCGCGGGGAGCAACCCCACGCGTGCGAGGGTGCAACACTCTATCCCACGCAGACAGAATGACGGGGGGCCCGCAATCCATTGACCTTTTTCCTCTTCTTGGTTCTTTCGGTAAAGTCACGTAGAATGGAAATAATAAAATAATACAAATAAAACATAATAAAATAATTATCACGGTTCTTCACCTGAGGACGGCTGCTTGCGTTGTAGCCGAAACGTCATGAGAATTATTTTATTATGTTTTATTTTTATAATTTTATTATCTCCATTCTACGTGACTTTACCGAAAGAACCAAGAAGATGAATCCCTGCAGTCACGAAAGCTTTAAATCGAAAAATCTATTGACCGCCATCACCTGGCACATCCAGGGTACGGCCTCCACCTCGCACCGCTCACGGGAAGGGAGTTTCGCGGAGACAGAGCGCGGCGATCAACCAACCCTCACGGCGGCCTCGACAGCGCCGTTCCACGCGCGGCCAAAGCAGCGACCGCCACCGCTCGGCAGAGACGCGCGGCGGCGAGCCTGCCGCCCCCGTACCTCGAAGTTCTCGAAGCCGAAGATGTCGAGGATGCCGATGCTGTGGAAGGGCCTCGCTCCGTGCACGCGCGCGTTGATGCGCCGCACGATCCACGAGAAGCAGCGCTCGTACAGCGACATCGCCAGCGAGTCGCGAGAGTCCGCCGCCTGGGGTGGTGTGGGGGTAGGGACAGGGCGGGGGGGGGGGGACAGGGTGGGACACAGGCGGGCAGGGGCAGCCGCCACCTGTCTGGCGTTGCCTCGGCACAGTCCGGGAATCGGCATGGTCCGTGTCCCGACGGGAGCCGGAATTGATTTGTGCCGAGACGCGGTGCTGCTGACGTGTGGAGCGCCGTCGCGTTGGCATGGCGATTGCGCACACGCTGTCATCTGCTCCCTCTCCTCATCCCCCCTCTCCTCGCCCCCATCTCCTCGCCCCCCTCTCCTCGCCCCCCCTCCCCTCGCCCCCCTCACCTCACCCCCTCTCCTCACCCCCTAACTCACCCCCCTCACCTCACCCCCCTCACCTCACCCCCCTCACCTCACCCCCTCACCTCACCCCCTCACCTCACCCCCTCTCCTCACCCCCCTCTCCTCACCCCCCTCACCTCACCCCCTCACCTCACCCCCTCTCCTCACCCCCCTCTCCTCACCCCCCTCTCCTCACCCCCCTCCCCTCACCTTCCCTCCCCTCACCTCTCTCTCACCTTCCTCTCCTCACCTCCCTCTCCTCACCCCCCTCACCCCACCTCCCTATCTTCACCTCCCTCTCCTCACCTCCCTCTCCTCACCCCCTCACCTCACCCCCCTCACCTCACCCCCCTCACCTCACCCCCTCCCCTCACCCCCTCTCCTCACCCCCCTCTCCGGAACCATCGCCAATGCTCACCCCATGCCTCTCCCCCCCCTCCCCCCCCCCCCCCACTGCCTCTCACCTGTGCGATGGTGAGCGGCGTGCTGATCTCCTCTCCGCGTAGGGTCATGGACCGCTGGGTCAGCGCCTCGGCCAGCGGCTCCTCGTCCACGCCCAGCAGCTCGGCCGCACGGCACAGAGCTGAGCCACAGACCACCCAGAGAACCACCACCACCAAGATAACCACAACCACTAAGATAACCACAACCACTAAGATAACCACAACCACCTGGATAACCACAACCACCAAGATAACCACAACCACCAAGATAACCACAACCACCAAGATAACCACAACCACTAACATAACCACAACCACTAAGATAACCACAACCACTAAGATAACCACAACCGCTTCAACCACCACCACTATGACTACAAGAGTGAACAGCCGACAAACCTCGTAAGAATACATTTTAATCTATTCATCAGGCCTGCACATAATCACCTGCCCACAGACCCCCCCGTCTCCCCCCACCCCGTCACCACCACTGGAGGACACTTGCGCGCCCCCCACTGCCCCCCCCCACTGCCCCCCCCCCTCACCACCACTGGAGGACACCTGCGCGCCCCCCGCCGTAGCGAACTCGATGTTCCCCACGAGCAGCACGGCCGAGAGCAAGCGCAGCACCTCCCTCCTCTCCTCTGCCGAGAAGCACATCGCCTCCATCGCGGCCTGGGGGAGCGGGGGCGTGACAGCGGCGTTAGAACACCACCGCTCCCGAGTGGGGCGTAAGAACGGCGTTAGAACACCACCACTCCCTAGTGGGGCGTTAAACCACACACGGCACATCCTCCCCTGATTTCAGGCCACGTGTGAAAGTGCACGACCCTAGGGTGGGGGCACCATCCCTCCCCCCTTCCAGCACCCACCCCCTAGGTGCTCATCCCGCAAAGCCCGCGGGCAAGCCCCCCCTTCCGACCCCCGAGCCTCGACAGTAGCGGCCGACCTCACGCCGCCGCGAGGCGGTGGGCACTCCCCTTGGCCTCCTCCTCCTCCACCCACGAGCATCTCCAGCTCAGAGGGCCCCGGTGGGCAGGGCTAGCCAAGGGCGCGGGACGCTTTCGCCCACGTGCCCACGTGCCCAGGCGCCCACGTGCCCACATGCTCACACGCCCACGTGCCCACACGCCCACGTGCCCACACGCCCACGTGCCCACACGCCCACGTGCCGACGTGCCCACGTGCCCACACGCCCACGTGCCGACGTGCCCACGTGCCCACACGCCCACGTGCCCACGCGCCCACGCGCCCACGTGCCCACACGCCCACGTGCCCACACGCCCACGTGCCGACGTGCCCACGTGCCCACACGCCCACGTGCCCACACGCCCACGTGCCGACGTGCCCACGTGCCCACACGCCCACGTGCCCACGTGCCCACGTGCCCACGTGCCACTACATTGGAACGTCTGGGGAGGCGTCGGCGCGGCAGTTTGTGGCGCCGCACTACGAACCCAGCCGCCCGTGAGTCCGACTCCCGCTCCTGCGCGGTCCCACCCACGAGCCGTTCTCTCCCTTCGACGGCGAGCGCAGGCCGCGCGGCGGCGCGTTGCAAGCTCATCTCCGTCACAATTCACGATTATCGTCGTCTGGGTGTGGCGCGGTGCGTGCGGAGCGGGTGCTGTGATGTCCGTGGGTGTGGGTCGCGTCGTCACCATGACGTCCGTGTAGAGGCTCCGGTCGGCGCTGGGGTCGTCCAGGGCGCTGCTCGACTGCTTCAGGTAGTGGTAGCTCTCGGGGCTCGAGATGTGCAGCTCCTCTGTGACCACGGAGACAAAGATCCCCCCCCCCCCCCACACGTGTGGCATTGAAAAGACCGTTTGGGGAAAGTGCTGCCGAGCGAGTAGTAGGGCTGAACGATGAATCGATTTCAAATCGAAATCGCGATTAGCAAATCGCAAAGGCTGCGATTTTTTTGCGATTTGAAAAGTCCTATTGCTTTTCTTATTGGAATTGTTTTATTTTTTATTATTATAACTTTATTTATTTATCTTAACAATTGTTCTATTTTCATTGTTCTATTTCAATTACAACATTTTAATAAGTACATGTTGGAAGCAATTCAGATCTTTTAAGTTCTCATCCTTGCATTAGAATATAGAGAGCAGTTCATATTGTGATGGTATCACGTGTTTTAAATCTTTTACACAGTGAATGTTGAACTGAATCTTGACTCAAATCGGCAATACCTGTCAGAAAAATCGCAATTAGATATTTTCCCCAAATCGTTCAGCTCTAGCGAGTAGCACCTATGAAGGCCGGCACTACACGCGAGGGGGTGGGTGGCCAACGCCACGCCCGGCCGCCTTTGACTCCCCAGCGAAGATGTTTACACACCGCACCCACGTACTCAGTCTGAGTCGGCCTAGGGGAGGCCCATGACCGTACAGCATACGCACGCAGTGGCTCCCCATCACGACACACGGTGGGGGGTGTTTGTGGGAGGGGGCAGCGAGACCTCGGAGTGCTGGGCAGGCCCCCCGCGTCACGGCGTAGAAGATGTGGAAGTTCCTCTCTCCCGGGTTCTGCCGCACGACGCGATTCTGAAACCACGACGACACCGCGTTAGCCACGCCTGCAGTCGCCGCCGCAATCGCCACCGCCACAACCATCAGCGACGATCATCACCATCGCCTCGATCATCACCACCACCACCACAACTATCACCACGATGATCAACATCATTACCAACATCATCAACATCCCCAGCATCATTATTTTCACAACCACCACCAACGCTACATTCATCACCATTTACACGACCATTATCACAATCTGTACCATGACCATCATTACCACTATCAATACCACCATCATCATCACTATTACCACCACTATAACCATCGTTACGACCACTAACACGGCTACCACCACCATCACTCTCACCCTCTTACCTTCTCCAGGAGGTCTGTAGTACGCGGTGGCCGAGGAGAGGTTGTGAGGTCAAGGGTCAACGGGGGTCGCACAGGGGGATCACAGGTTACACAGGGGGATCGCAGGGGCCTCTGCTGTCAACTCAGAGGCCAAGACTCATGAAGAGATATATCACATCACTCGTGGCAATCGACCCTCTGCGTGAGGGCAAATGGTAGAGCCAGGGTTACATCCTCAGTGGAGAATGTGTCCACCTGTGTTGGGATGAATGTGAACGTTGGCGTCAGTGTTCACGAGTTGCCAGGCAATGGTGGCATACACGTTAGCGTCGTCATTGTCGTTAGCGTCGGGGTTAGTGTGACGCTGACGATTGGAGTGAGCGTTCGGGTAAGGCTGTAGGTGAGGTGTGGTGAGGAGGAGGACGATGAGCAGAAGGATACAGTGGAGAATGCGGCCGCCCCTGATCGTTCCCTGCTGGCAAAAGTTGAGCTGCACGAAGCGGCCGAAGCGGCTGGAGTTGTGGTTGTGCACCGTGCGAGCGTTCCCAAACGCCTCCATGATGGGGCTGCTCCACACGGGGGGGGGGGCGGGGGTGGAGGGTAGGGGGCAGCGTGTGGGAGCGTGAGAGGGTAGGGGGCAGCGTGTGGGAGCGTGAGAGGGTAGGGGGCAGCGTGTGGGAGCGTGAGAGGAGAGGGCGAGCGGGAAACGCGTGCGGAACAGAGGTCACCGGGAGAGTACACGGTGGGGGTCGACGTCCACACAACCTCCGAGGTCACGGCAGGAGGTTCTCTCACAGTCTGTGTGGGTGGCGTGTGTCTGTGTCTGTGTGTATATGTGTGTAGGGGAGCGGTAGTGTAGCGGTTAGCGCGCTGCGCTATGAACCTGGCGACCCAGGTTCGATTCCCGCTCACGGCCAACACCAGTGACGATTATCTAAACCTGTCCCGGGCCTCCCCTAGGTCGACTCAGCCTCAAATGAGTACCTGCTGCGATGTGTAAACATCGTCACTAGGGAGACAAAGGCGGCCGGGCGTGGTATTGGCCACCCACCCCCTCGTGTGCCGTGCGGGCCTTCATAGGTGCTCGCTAACACCACTTGCCCCTCCAGTCTGTTCGGGCTATACGGGGGATCTTTATATTTATCTGCAGCAACGTGCAGCAATGTGAAAACTTGGCTGAGACTCGGTGACGATTCGTGGGGTACGCGTGGCACCTGCTGTGCAGCACGGCTCGCTCCACGTGGGTGCTCGAGTCGAGGCGGGAGGACTTGGCAGAGGCCTGGCTCGCGGCCGACAGGAAGTCCAGGATGATCTTGGTGCTCTCCGTCTTGCCGGCTCCGCTCTCGCCGCTGACGAGACCACGCGGACACGCATCCATGCAAAGGACAGGCAGACACGTGAACACGCAGACACACGAACACGTATACACGCGGAGGACAGGCAGACACGTGAACACGCAGACACACGAACACGCATCCACGCGGAGGACAGGCAGACACGTGAACACGCAGACACACGAACACGCATACACGCGGAGGACAGGCAGAGACGTGAACACGCAGACACACAAACACGAATACACGCGGAGGACAGGCAGACACGTGAACATGCAGACACACAGACAGGTGGACACATTAACACAAGAACACACAAACATAGGAACAATGTGTGCTATTTATTTATTTATGTACGTGTGTTGGGCCTGAACCTTAAAATAGTCATCAGCGTCTCGGTGGAGAATTGCACAACAACGTAAATGAAGTTTTATTTCTTTATTAACACTTCCCATCAGCCGCACGGCCTTGTGGGAGTGCATCATTTCAGCAGCGTTGGTTCAATGTTTCGACACTCAGCGTCTCATCAGGTGAAGGCCATAGCCTCCGAATGTTTGCCAGGTCATGAGTATTGATTGTTTCCAGCAAGCCTGGACTCCTCAGCAATATTTATTATTACCCTTGAACCAAAACCCAAACACATCCTAACCCTAGAGCAAACTATGGGTGTGGTACTGGTGCGGCAATGGGTGTGGGTGTGGCAATGGCGTGTTCAATGGGTGTGGCACTGGCGTGACACTAGGCGTGTGTCAGAGGTCGCAAACGGGTTTTGATTCCTTACCCGTACCCGGCCGCACCAGGGTCACAAACGGGTATCAGGTAGGGTACGGGTATTGGGTAGGGTACGGGTATCGGGTAGGGTACGGGTATCGGGTACCCGATTGCGACCACTGGCATGGTGTCAGTGGCACGCACCTGATGAGGACACACTGGCTGTCGCCATGCCGCCACAGGCCGCGGTAGCACTCCCCGGCGATGGCGTACAGGTGGGGCGGCAGCTCGCCTAGCCGGTGCCTTCTGTAGGCCTCCACGCTGGCAGCGCCGTAGAGCCCCGAGATCGTCTCGTAGGGGTTGACGGCCGCCAGGATTGAGCCGATGTATGTCTGCTCCGCACCGCGGCGCACGGGGATCGCGTAAGTTACAACGACGCGTTTACTTGTGTGTACGTCGCCGCGGCGTTGTGGTTCACGCACATTGCATCTCCCACAGTCACTCTGAGGAAGCACGGATGAGCGGCAAGGTCGCAGCAGCAGTCAGGCGGCGAGGAGCCGGCGTGACCAGCGACGGCCCAAGCTCTCTGCGGCCCTCTATGAATGAAGACGTTTGCAGCCATTTAAAGAGGGTTTATGCATGTCAGAGGAAAATGGATCACCCGGAGAAAACCCCCATGTGACAGCAAGGGGGCAACGCTCTATCCCATACAAAATAGACAGATGGCATTGGTATTAGTCCACATTTTGTAGTTCAGCATTCTCCTGTCAAGCCACAGCATGGCACCTCGACGCCCACGGGAAAGGATTTTCGCAACGTGTTGTGCGATCCGCCAACCCTCGCTGCTGCCACCACACAGTGCTTGGGGTGCGTTCTGTGGGCAGGGCGCCCCGGAGCGCTTCCCTGCCGAGCGGCTTGTTCGCCCAGAGCGCATCGTCGTACCAGCAGCCAATCGTCCGAGGAGCTGCCTCGCAGAGCCTTGGGTGGGCGTGTCAGAATCCAGCCAATCAGAGGCGCCGTAACCTTCCTGCGAACTCTCGATGTGCGGCTCCTTGTCCGAGCCGGGTGCGTCGTGACTGTCACGCCACCGTTACGAGGCGCTCTGCGTCTTTGACCGAGAGCTAACGTCCGCCTCGCAGTCGCGCCACAGCACGGCAGAGCGCTCTGCCCGTTGAACGCACCCCCGGGATTACAGGCCCCATGCGCCACCACTACCACCGCCACCACCACCACCAACACCGCTGACACGATCGCCATCATCACCACCACCGCCATCATCACCACCACCGCCACGGCGGGGGGAGAGCGCGGCACAGCGCCAGCGGTGCCTAATGTCCGCTCTGAAGCAGACGCTGCGCCATTCGCGATTGATGTGCCTCGCAGGATTAACCGGGGCGGCCGCGGGGCTCGAACCGCAAACCTCTGTGATGGAGCGGCAGGCACGCTTGCCGCTCGGGCCCCGCCAAGAAATGCGCTTTCGAATTGTTGGGAGAAACCAATCCACTATCCTCCCGCTAATTGGCGCCAAGTGTCACAGACTGAACGTGTTTTACCCAGAGCCTGTTCACCAAGCTGAAAACGCAAAATAATATTGCGTATCTTACAGAATTCTCCGTCGAGCTAGGACCCATATCGATGAACTTATGGCCGTTCGCCAGCGATGGTTCAAGCAAGGCCAGCTCTGCTGATGAGACACTCAACGTCGAAACCGCTGCAGAGTTTAATTGCTTGTGTTGAACCCGCGCTGCTGAAATCATGCAAATCCCAGAATGCCGTGCGCTCTGATGGGATGTGCACAACAACAAAAACATCTCCATACGTTTTACGTCGCTAGAACGATACGTGGTGGGAAAATTGTCCGGCGATTAATTTAATTTCTTCCCAGAGGATGGCGTCACCCAACCAGTTGTGAGAAGTGGGCCACTGTTCTATGCCCTTGGTCTGATTGTAATTCGAAAAACATTGTGATGTAACGCGCATATGATTTACCGATCCGGTCATTTCCTGCTTGACAGATACGATCTTTCTTTCACGCCCTGTGCGGATAACATGATCCTGGAACCCTTCCAGATGTCACCGACAATCGCCCCCTCCAGCGCCCAGTAAATGTATTCGGAAACTTTTAATCGCGACCGGGGCCACACAACCTGTTTACCGAATGTCGCTTGGGGATTTTCCCATCGGCGAACCTGTACGCCGATGGCAGCAATTATTGTGGAGGGTCGGGGGGGGGGGAATGACGCGGTCGGAACGCAGCGCGTTTCGCCGCTCGCTGCGGAGAGTTCGCGGTTCGAGATTGGCGGCCATCCTGGTTAATACCGCGCTTGGTTGTAACGGTGGACGTTACAGATCACGTGACATTACCCGAGAGAGAGAGTCGGCTCATTCCAGTGCCAGAATCACGGTCCACATTTTCCAGATAAAAAAAAAACTACACGGCAACAAGACTACCACCAGGAATGGTGCAGAACACCGAGCGTGTGCCCTTCCCGTCCGCGAGAGCGCCGCGTTTAACGACGCCTTTGAGTGGCGCGCGGCCCTCAAACCCACCGCCGCGTCATCTAGGGCATCGATCGCACAATCTGCCTCGATTGGCAAAACCTCCACGGTCACATCGCCCGTGACGCTCGCGCTTCCCCCCACCCTCACCCCCCCCCCCCCATCTCGTCAGTTCTCAGAAGCTAAGTGTAAGGATTAAGCCTGGATAGTGAACGCTTGCATGGAGTTACTACCGCTGTGCATAACAGGTGTTATAGACGGTGGAGATCTGGCTACGTTGTGGGCAGTGGCCAAAATCAACCGTTGGGCCTGTGCTTCTGTGCTCCCACATTGACGGTTCCCGACTTCACTTCACTGACACTTGAGTGGAGTCATTCATAACAATAATAACATCATAATAACCTCTATTTCATCAAGCCCCTTTCATTCTGAAGTATCTCAAAGCGGTGCAGGTGTATCATCGGCGCAGGTGTATCTTCGGCGCGGGTGTATCACGAGCGCGGGTGTATCATCGGCGTGGGTGTATCATCAGCGTGGGTGTATCATCGGCGCGGGTGTATCATCGACGCGGGTGTGCAGCTCACGTAGATGAGCTTGTGCCGGTAGCGGAGGTGCAGGTTGTGCAGGATGGCCCCCTCGTGGAGCTCCGCCAGGGAGCTCATGTCCTCCACCCCCTCGGGCCCCCAGGCCGGCATGGCTCGCACGTTGACTCGCGCCACGGAGCCGGGGGTCAGCGTGAACGTCTGTGTCGCGCGTGCAGAGAAAACAAAGGCAAATGTCCACCGTGTGTTTGTTGGGGCGAGTGCCGTGATGAAGGCCGGCACGGCACACGAGGAGATGGTTTGGCCAGAGCCCATGCACGCATGCGCCTTCATCGCCTGGAGTGGCGATGTTTACACACGGCACCAGGTACTCATTTGAGGCTGAGTCGACATAGGGGAGGGCCCGGGACCAGTTCAGATAATCGTTACTGCTATTGATCTTGAGCAGGAATCGATCTCTGGTTTCTGGGTTCACACATCCACACACACACCAACACACAGACTGACACACACAAAATACAGACGGACACACCGACACACACACACGTATTTGCTCTCTATAAAATGGTTATTCTTTACTCTTGGGTACACATTGAGAAAAGGTACCCAGCCTTCCTGGGTGCACCTTATAAGTTCGCTCAAAAACTCAGTGACCCTGCTGGGTCCATTCAAGGGGATGTGCCCCCCCCCCCCCCGGGGGCAAGAGGGGTGACTGCCATCCTCCCCACAGGGGACACGGGGGGGGGGGGTGTGCTCGGTGGAAGGGGGCCACCAGGTGACTGAGTGGGCGACCGAGCGGGTGACCAGCGGATGACCGAGTGGCTGATCGAGTGGGTGATAATGCGGGTAACCATCCGGGTGATTGAGTGGGTGACCGTGTGGGTGACTAAGTGGGTGACCGAGCGGGTGGCCGTGTTGGTGACTAAGTGGGTCACTGTGCGGGTGACCAAGTGGGTGACCAAGTGGGTGACCGAGCGGGTGACCATGGAGGTGACCGTGTGGGTGTTTTTAGACAAAACCTTGGGTATTTTAAGAAAACGCGCACAAGGCCACGGAAGCCGGGACACACTTCCACCCCATGACAGATGCACACACACAAGACAAAGGTCCCCCATATAGCTCTATTGACTGCCCAGTGAACATGCAACGTCGTGTTGTAGGAAGTGCTGTTAGGGAACACCTATTAAGGCAAGCAAGGCACAAAGAGGTCATGTGGCCACCACCACGCCTGGCCGCCTTTGTCTCCCCAGTGGTGATGTGTTTATACACCGCACCAGCTACTCGTTTAAGGCCGAGTCAACCTAGAAGCTCAGGACTGGTTTGGATATCACTCGCCACTGATGTTAGCCGTCGCGGTAATCGAACTCAGATTGCCGTATGCACACACGCTCACAAAGACAAAGATTCCCCCTATAGCCTAACAGACTGTTCGGGCAAGTGCTGTTAGCGAGCACCTATGAAGGCCGGAACAGTACACTAGGCAGTGGGTGGCCAACACCACGCCCGGCCGCCTTTGTCTCCCCAGTGGCGATGTTTACACACCGTGCCAGGTACTCGTTTAAGGCTGAGTCAACCTAGGGGAGGCCCACGACCGGTTCAGATCATCACTGGTGTTGGCCGTGAACGGGTTACCGAGTTCGTAGCGCAGCACGCTAACCGCTACACTACCGCTCCCCACACACACACACGCATACACACACACACTAACGTACACAAACACACACTCCCACGTACATCTATATAAACACACAAGATTAAAGACACGCACGTGCGTGCGCGCGGCACACATTTGCCCAATGCAGACACAATCACACTCGGATACACACAGTTGCCAATACATTTCACGTGCGTGCACACAGCCCATGCACAATTGTTATTATCATTGCAGGAGACATCACCACGGCAGCAAACTCCGCTGCTCCTCGCGCGGTTATCTGGCTTGACCACCATAACGTGACGTTGTAGTTGTTGTTCTGCGATCTACATCGGCCGTACGGAAGTAGAAGATCTGCGAATGAAGACGATTGTCATTGCGTTTGTTGACCCAGGAGAGTGTGAAGGAGCCTTGAGACTCAGCAGGGTCCTGCCAAGTTCAGTGTATGAATACTCATTTATACTGGAGAAATCAGATGAGCTGTAAAGCTCTTTTGTGCGTGATGTTGCTGCTGCGTGCGATCCCAACCGAGTAATTTGTAGGTCATTTTTCAGCATTGGGAAGTTTGAGCGCGATACCGATGACATTGTGCGTGGTCTTTTTGTTTAGCTATGGGAGGCAACCAGAGAACCAGGAAGAAATCCTTGCAGTACAGGGGGAGAACATCCACACTCCCACTCACCCACTCACTTACCCACTCACTCACTCAACCACCCACTCACTCACACACTCAACCACCCACTCAACCACCCATTCACTCACTCACTCACCCACTCACCCACTCAACCACCCACCCACTCAACCACCCACCCACTCACACACTCACCGAATCACTCACTCACCCAATCACTCACTGACCCACTCACTCACCCATCCACCCACTCACCCACCCACCCATTCACTCACCCAATCACTCACTCACCCACTCACCCAATCACCCACTGACGAAATTGAGCCTCATCCTGGTCCCTTCACTTCTCACGTTGTTCAAACAAATACATTAGGGGGGGGGGTAGTTGGTCTGATAACACCGCAAGCCAGACGAGATGGTGCTGAGACCGAGTGAGGGCGCGGTAGCCGGTTGCCCGCCTCACAGAGCAACCCTCGCACGCGGGGAACAACGCGGACCCCCCGGTGACTCCGACCGTCAACACGGCGGTTTCGCAACCCGCCAGGCCGGCGTGCCACGCGGCACCACCGCCGGCACGCGGCGTGACCACCGGCACGGCTGACGGCCCCCCCACCACCCCCCCGTCCCAGCTGCGTGACGTCTCCACTGTCGGAGCGGAAGCAAGCGGAGGCTGCCGCAGGACGATCGGCCCTCGTACGCCCCCGTGCCCCGCGTGCCCCCCGTACCCTTCGTGCGCCCGTAGCGGTGCTTCCACGTTCACCATTCCGCCGCCATCGCCCTCCCACGAGGAGGAGCGACGTGGGCCGCCCAGCAGCGACCGAGCGCCGCTCGCTCAACGCCGCGAGTTTCCGTGGACACGCGGATAAAACGCGAGCAACAGGCGTGGTATTTACGGACTAAATCGAAGTCATGTGGGCGCTGGCGGAGCACACAATCAGGCGCCTTTGTGATGAGCAAGGCTCGCTACCCCCCCACCCTCCTCCTCGTCCTGCTCCTCCTTGCGCTCCCAGCTACATCTGTCATGTGAACCCTCATACCCCCCTCCTTGCACCACCCCCAAACTGCCTCGGCCCCCACAGCCACTGTCCCCCCCCACTCTCCTGCCAATGCCTTCAGTGTGTGGGGGCAGCCCGGGGCATTACCACCCCCACGCCCCGGCCTTCCTTACCCGCCCCCCACTACTACCGCCCCCCACCCACGCCCAACGTTGTCTGTCGGAATGAGCAGCTCCACGTGGTGTCGGACGTACATTTTCGACTCTTGGGACACGTGGTTAATCGCGATGGGTATCATCATGAAGTGGCCTTTCGCCTTGGGGCACAGGGAGCCAACCGAGTTGGACTGCGATTCAGAGAGAAGCCACGTGTCCAGCTGTCTACACGGCGGGTCTTTGTCTTCGTGTGACGATGCCTCAGCAGCGTCAGACCACAAGCCATTGTTTTTTTTCTCTCTTCAACTGCATCAACTTCAACCGCGCATTACGAGTGGCTAGATGTTGTGAGCGAAGCCGCCTGCTCCGCGCAACTGCCCTGAGATGTGGCAACAATCCCCCCCCCACCCCCCATTCCATTCAAGCGTCGATTCTCACCCACGTGCTGCCGTCGCCGGCGCAGGCTACGGAGGCTACGCGATGACGAGACGCAGAGACATCCGCGACTTAACCCCAGGCGGGAGTTCGTTGAGGCTACCGGGCTCGCTTGTACGGGCGGAGAGCTGGGGAGATGGAGGGGGAGAGCTGGGGAGTGTAGGGGAGACGGGGGTGACGAGAGTGCAAGCACCGCAGGAGTGCCGTACTATTTTGGGTCAAAACAACAGCGCAGAGTTGGGGAAATATTGAGCAATGGCGAGAGAGAGAGAGAGAGCCGTGCACGTAAACAGAACAATAAATCAAAATAAAAAAATCTAGAATTTTTATACAAGCCACCGCCGGTTTTGTCCACTACAGTCGCTACAGATTCGCCGCCCCCCCTCACATCCCGCCTCTCCAGAAATGTGGTGAATCGTCATTGTTTAGCGGGGGCGGGAGGGTCACGATTCGATCCCAGGATCGATTCTCATTTCAACTTCACGCTCAGGCTCTCGTGACCGATATCGTGATTCGTGCCATATTTGGTTTATGGATCCTGTCACGTGGGTCCGACGTCAGCGCTTAACTAAGAACCCTTCGCCACCCAGCGACAGGGCCAATCAAATCGAGTTGGCACTTCGTGGGCAAATGTGCCGATTGATATTGGTTCATCAGCAAACCCGGAGGGGGAGGAGGAATATTCAAAAGCCAGGGAGGTGCTGGCAATGATTACGAACGACGTTTCGCAGGAGACTACCTCCAGCGCCATCGGCGTCGACAGGAGTTCAGCTCTCGCAAGGAACACCCTTGGCCCGAAACGTCACCTGTTACAGGTTTCCCTCCCTCTATGCGGGGGTCGTAGATGCTCTCCACAACAGGTCGCAACAAAGCGAACCCGCGTGAGACGTCTGCCTCTCAAGCGGCGCGCACCGTGCACGCACAACGTCGTCTCACGTCCGAACCGCACGGTCGCATGCAGAGTGAATTCAAACCGCGCAGGGGAGCGAATTTTGGGCAGAAAACAGGTTAGCCGCATATGCAGTTGGCAAGATGGCGCGCAAACCCAACCCGCGTGGAGCGAGGGACACGGGTAAAGATTCACGTGCCATGAAGAATGCCCCTTGTCTGAAACATCGCCTATATTTTTATCTTTAAAGGCCATCATCTACGCAGCGGTCACCACCACCCATATCTGGAGGTAAAATATTTCATCTGACAACACTAAAATCAAGCGCCGCCTTTGCCCCCCCCCCACCCCCATGCAGGTCACTGACCCCCACACTCCCCCCCCCCCTAAACTCTTGCTCCGTTGCCCTCATTGACAGGGTCAATCAGGGACACAGCCCCCCCACGAGCCTCCCGGCCCCTCCCCTCAATCCCCCACGGCCCCCAGCCCCACCCCCCCTCTTCACATCCCCCCCCCCCCACCATTCCCTCCCTCCACCCCTCCCCGACCTGACCCCAACAGCTGCTTGGAGCTATTGAGAGGAGACCACTAACAGCTGTCACTCCACGACAGACAGCAGCTCCTACGGACCCTTCAGCAGCCACAAACAGCTCCAATAGCATCCTCGAGCACCCCCACAGCTCCTATCGTAGCCCCTCTAGATGCTGTACCTCCGATAGCACCACTGTCGGCTCCTGTAGATGCTACAGCTCCTGTACGTCCTATGGTAGGCCTCACAAGCCCACACACAAGCTGGGGTCGCCCACCCGCCTCTGGCAGTGCGGGAATCGGCATCGGTGTTCGGGTGGCAGCAGGAATTGATTTGTGCCGAAACCCGGTGCCGGTGTAGCCGCCGCTTGGGGCGCTATCGCGTGGCTCGGCGATCGCGCGCGCGCTAATTGTAACAGGAGACTACGGGGTTCTTATAAGTGACCTCCCCGTGCTGAGTGAGGTGCACGTCGGGGCTTGCTCCGTGGATAAAGTGGCGACCCCAAGAAAGGCCCCACAGTGGGTAGGCCTAGGCCTAGGCCTGTAACAATCCACATCCCTCCCGATTCCACATCCCTCCTTAATTCACATCCCTAAACGAATCGTCATGAACCGGGGGGGGTCACGATTCGGGGTCACAATTCCGTCTCGCAAACCTCCGACCTCCGGTGGCCTCCATGTCACCGTCAAGCCCGTCGTCTCTGGAGTCAGAGACGGCGATCAACGTTCCTCCATCGAAACTCCGCTCGCCTGGAACTCACTCCTCCGATTAGCACCGTTGGTGCGGTACGGTGCAAAAGTTCAACATAAGTATACATCCAGACAACTCACTCCCTCCTCCTCTCTCACCGCCCCACACGAATGGCGTCGGTGCCGTCACGTTCTTCATGCAGTAACATTTCTTGCAAGTAACAAATTGGAGAACGACCGAATGATGTCCAAGAGCCACGCTCGTTCGGGCGGTGCGAGCGCGTGCTGCCACACGTGTGACCGTGTACCGTGTAAGCCGCCGTGAGCCGCGAAGGGCTTCGAGAGCCCAGGAGTGGCAGAATCGGCGAAATTGTTCCACAGCGTAACACAATAAAGGGACTGTGCGACGCACACTAACGGCACCGCCCCCCATGTGACTATCAGCTTCACCAGCGCACGCGTTTCTGGGCATTCAAAACATTCCCGTCCCTGCACATGTGTGTGCGTGTGCATGCGGCGGTGCAGTGGTTAGCGCACGGCGCTAAGAACCAATCGGCCCTCCTCGGGAAACGTGGCCAAAAAATATGTCTCACGCCGTCCTTTTTTAATGAATAAAACGAGACTGAAGGCTGTACGAAAACAAAAAAAAAAATCCGCCGACCTGATTTCGATTCCCGCTCGCGACCAATTACAGTGGCGGATATTTCAACAGGTGCTGGGCCTTCCCCGAGGTCCACTCTGCGTCAAACGAGCACCTGGTGCGGTGTGTACAACATCAGCACTGGGGAGACAGAGGCGGCCGGGCGTGGTACTGGCCACCCACCCCCTCGTGTGCCATCCGGGCCCACACAGGTGCTACTCGCTAACAGCACTTGCCCCAACAGTCTGCTTAAAGCTACATGGGGAACCTTTGTCTTTGCGTGCGTGGGGACTGTTTTTGCTGTTAGGAATTTTTCATATTAAAATTGCAGTATTTCTATTTGAGGTTGCCAGGCAGCACGGGGAGTCACACTTATTGTGCCAGCAGGGCAAAAGTCCTGGGTTCGAGTCCCGGTAGAAGCACCACTAATAACTCAATCAGGATCTCAAGTCCAGCAAGGCTGGGGAGGGTAGGGTGGGCTTGATGGTCTCTGCTTGATCAACAATGACTGCGCAGAGAAACCCAGCCACGTTACAATGTCGTTCTGCACTCGACTTCGTGTGGCTTGTTCCTTCTATTCGATATCAGTTCGACCGGTTGTGCTGAGAAACACAACTCTCGTATGCAGAGCGGGAAAGTGAGTGCAGCCCCCTAATGTGTGGACTAGAGGTCACCGGAAGAAGAAGAAGAAGGATCGGAAGTAGCTCTACAATATCCGCTTCCGTGGGCCTTTCCGTCACACGGAGGAGGTAGCACTGCTCTGTCGGAGATCAGAATTATACTTTGTTGCATAAAATGGGGTGGAGCGGGGGGGCGGTGGAAATGCCAGAAAAGTAATCACTGCTTTGCCCGCCATGCGATGAGCCCCGTGTGCATCAGGTCATGTGGGAAGTGCTCAAATGTCGACGTGATCCACCAATCCCTTGCCTCCGAAGCGCCGAATCACCGACGACGGGAAGGATCATGAGGATCAGAGCGAAGGAGCGGCGATGAGGTTGATGAGGTGGGGAATGTCAGCGAGTTGGGGTGAGTTGGGGTGAGGAGGGGGACAGGATGGGGGGGGGGGGGCGTGAGGGGGGGGGATGCAACGGGTGAGCTGAACTCCTCACCTGGCCATAGTCGGAGATGAGGACGAGGGATCCGCCCTCACTCGCCACCACGGAGCACGGGAGGAGCAGATCACCGTCCCTCACCCACACGCGCTCACCCTGCTCACCACACAGGGAGACACAGGCTGTCACTCACCACTCACACCGCTCACCATCCCTCACCCACACGAGCTCACCCTGCTCACGGCACAGGGAGACACGGGCTGTGTCACTCACCACTCACACCGCTCACCATCCCTCATCCACACGCGCTCACCCTGCTCACGGCACAGGGAGACACAGGCTGTGTTACTCACTACTCACACCGCTCACCATCCCTCACCCACACGCACTCACCCTGCTCACGACACAGGGAAACACGGGCTCGGTCACTCACCACTCGCACAGATCACCGTCCCTCACCCACACGCGCTCACCCTGCTCACCACACAGGGAGACACAGGCTGTCACTCACCACTCACACCGCTCACCATCCCTCACCCACACGAGCTCACCCTGCACACGGCACAGGGAGACACAGGCTGTGTCACTCACCACTCACACCGCTCACCATCCCTCACCCACACGCACTCACCCTGCTCACGACACAGGGAAACACGGGCTCGGTCACTCACCACTCGCACAGATCACCGTCCCTCACCCACACGCGCTCACCCTGCACATCACACAGGGAGACACGGGCAGTCACTCACCACTCACACCGCTCACCATCCCTTACCCACACGAGCTCACCCTGCACACGGCACAGGGAGACACAGGCTGTGTCACTCACCACTCACACTGCTCACCGTCCCTCACCCACACGCGCTCACCCTGCTCACGACACAGGGAGACACGGGCTCGGTCACTCACCACTCGCACAGATCACCGTCCCTCACCCACACGCGCTCACCCTGCTCACGACACAGGGAGACACGGGCTCGGTCACTCACCACTCACACCGCTCACCATCCCTCACCCACACACGCTCACCCTGCTCACGACACAGAGACACAGGCTGTGTCACTGACCACTCAGCTCACGATCCCTCACCCACACACGCTCACCCTGCTCACGGCACAGGGAGACACGGGCTGTGTCACTCACCACTCACACAAGCTCACCATCCCTCACCAACCACCACGAATCCGCACCAATGCGGCCGCTCTCCACCCTCCAATCGCCGTCCTCACCCCACCTACGGCGCGTCACCCCACCCCCCAACTCTCCCCCACCACCTCTGCCCCCCCCCCCCCAATCATCGCCCGGGGGTCGCTGGGCCGCGTCGCGACGCTCCTCGTCGGGAGTCGCCAACGCCACCGCTGTCGCCGCCGCAACCACCACGCACGCTCGCCGACGACGCTCCGACGACGACGACGCTCCGACGACGACGACGTTCCGCGTTGGAGGCCTCGCGAGGGGCTCGGCCGCCGCTTTCTACCCACGAGACAATGTCGATCTCACGCCACTTGGGAGTTGGAGCGACGGTCTCCCGGCGGCGCCTCTGTGTACCTTCTGCGCGCAACGAAAATCGCAGACATTGCTCAACCCACGAATGAAGGCCCCTTCCAAGCCGTGTGGTCAATGGGGATTGGTCAGTGACTGTTTGGCCATTCTGGTTAGCCTTGCTGGCCAGTGCGGCTTACTGGGAGCGCCTAGGACTGGTTCGGATATCACTCGCCCCTTGCCCTGACCAGGAATTAAACCGGTTTGTCTCACCCACTCGGTGTTCAACCACATCCACGACACTGCAGGTCACAACAACACTGTCACTCACTCTCCCACTCACTCACTCACACACTCTCGCACTCACTCACCCAGTCACTCACTCACCCACTCACTCACTCACTCTCCCACTCACACACTCTCCCAATCACTCACCCACTCATACACTCTCCCACTCACACACTCTCCCACTCACTCTCCCACTCACACACTCTCCCACTCACCCACTCACTCTCCCACTCACTCACTCACCCACTCACTATCCCACTCACTCAGCACACTGCAGGTAAGCTCACGTATCTCGCTGTTTCTTCCCGCACACTGCTCCACACTGGAATCCCCTCCTTACATCATCGTCATCATCATCTGTTTCCCAGAGCTCTTACAACAACAACAACCTCGCTCAATGCAAGCAACGTATCCACCCTGATCGATTACAGCTTCAACGGTGCTGCTTGTTGCTGGTCGCTCTGCGCTTGGGGGTCTTTGGGCCCAGTGCTCAGCAACCGGTGCTAAAGATGATCCATCAGGGTTGCCGGGTTGACAGGGCGGCTGTGCGCTAACCACTGCACCGCCGCTCGACCCCTTGTTCAATTACTGGCGAGTGTAAAGGGCAGGGATAATTACAGAAATTGTTACCGTCGGGAAATACAGCAGCACTCGGCTACCTGAGTAATTAGAGCAAACGGATGCCTCTGACAGGAATATCCAGCGCTAAGTTCTCGAGTAAATATATCACGGACAGAGCGAAGTGGAAGGAAGAGACCATGCTTGTTGATGCCTTTGAGAAAGTGCATGGCAGAGAGAGAGAGATAAACATTGCCCATAGAATAGCATTGCTCATAGACTAGCATTGCCCATAGACTAGCATTGCCCATAGACTAGCATTGCCCATAGACTAGCATTGCCCATAGACTAGCATTACCCACCCACACACACACAAACTGGCACACACCTACACACAAACTCTCATGCACCTACACACACACGCACAAACTCTCACACACCTACACGCAGATACAGTACACACAGGCCCCCCTGCACCTGCACCCGCGTCTCACGCGCTAATTAACCCATGCAGAGTGGGGGACAGCGAATGAAGGTGAGCGAGAGAGAAGGTGAGAGAGGGGGGGAGGGATAGCGAGAGAGAGAGGGGGAGAGAGGGGGGGAGGGATAGCGAGAGAGGGTGAGAGCGAATGAGACAGGGTGAGAGCAAATGAGAAAGGGTGAGAGCGAATGAGAAAGGGTGAGAGCGAATGAGAGAGAGAGTGAAAGCGAATGAAGGTGAGAGAGAGAGTGAGAGCGAACGAGAGAGGGTGAGAGCGAACGAGACAGAGTGAGAGAAGGTGAGAGAGAGCGTAAGTGGGTGAGAGAGAGAGCGAGTGGGAGAGGGTGAGAGAGAGTTAAAGTGAGGGTGAGAGAGGGTGAGAGAGAGAGAGGGTGAGAGGGAACAACCGTGCCCGGGGCTGTGTGTAATCCGTGAAGTGCACGGCTCTGGATTAGTCCACGGCCTTGTCATTATGAGCCGTCAGGGCGTACGCACGCACGGGTGCGGCACTGGAATTCGCGTCCGCCAAGGTCAGGTTCACGGTTAGACCTCGGCCCGTGGTTACTCATGAGCCCTGTGGTTCAGCGATGAGGTTGTCAGTTAGATCTTGGTGCTTCGGGTTAGGGTTTGACCTCGTACCGTGATTACTGGTTAGCACCCTAGTTTAGCAATTAGGATTGGGATTACTGGTTAGCAATATGGTTTAGCAGTTAGTGTTAGACCTATCACTGGGGTTACCGGTGTTACAGTTTAGAGGTTAGTGTAGTGAGTTGATGACTGTTCTCACACACACACACATTCAGTTCGGTTCTGCACTTAATTTGGCAAAAAGTTCCAGCTTTGAGAATTTTAAATATTTGTTTGGCTGCCACGCAGCGACCATCACTCTCATGCAGCAGAGCAGGCGGGGGAGTGCTGCCCCCTACTGTGTGTCGACCAGAGGTCACTTAAAGCAGAAGGGACATCAGACGTAGCTCTGTGCTATCCACTTCCGCGGGCCGTTCTGAGCGAACCAGAGTGACACTTAAAGCAGAAGGGGATCTCAGACGTAGTTCTCTGCTATCCACTTCCACGGGCCGTTCTACGTGAACCAGAGTGACACTTAAAGCAGAAGGGACATCAGACGTAACTCTGTGATATCCACTTCCGCGGGCCGTTCTGAGTGAACCAGAGTGACACTTAAAGCAGAAGGAATCTCAGAGGTAGCTCTGTGCTATCCACTTCCGCGGGCCGTTCTGAGTGAACCAGAGTGACACTTAAAGCAGAAGGAATCTCAGACGTAGCTCTGTGCTATCCACTTCCACGGGCCGTTCTACGTGAACCAGAGTGACACTTAAAGCAGAAGGGACATCAGACGTAACTCTGTGATATCCACTTCCGCGGGCCGTTCTGAGTGAACCAGAGTGACACTTAAAGCAGAAGGAATCTCAGAGGTAGCTCTGTGCTATCCACTTCCGCGGGCCGTTCTGAGTGAACCAGAGTGACACTTAAAGCAGAAGGGGATCTCAGACGTAGCGTTGTGATAACCTCTTTCCATTTCCGTTCTCGAACGCAAACGACGACGAAGATCTCCGGTACAACACGATCTCTGTGTGGGACCCATTCAGGCGGTGCTGCGTCTTGTTACAAGGGAGACCTGGGGGCTCACTGCGAGATTATAGTCGATGGGGCATACGCATGCCCTGACTCAGAGCGCAACATTCCTTCCCTTCAGAGTGTGCACAGCAATGGTGCACATGTGTGCTTGAGTGTACAGTGTGTTTCTGTGTGTGTGAGTGAATGTGTGAGAATGAGTTGTTCTGTGTAAGAATTAATGTGCCTGTGAGTGAATGTGTTCATGAGATTGAGTGTGTGTGTGAGGGTGAATGCGTGCGTGGGAGTGAACGTGTGTGAGAGTGGATGTGTGTATAGGAGAGTGAATGCATGTGTGAGTGAATGCGTGTGTGAGAGAGTGAATGTGTGCGAGTTGAACATGCTAGTGTGTGAGAATGAATGTGTGTGCCACCGATTTGAACCGGTCCTGGGCCTCCCTTATGTCGACTCAGCCTTAAAATAACTACCTGGTGCTGCGTGTAAACATTAGCACCTGGGGAGACAAAGGCTGCCGGGCGTGGTGTTGGCCACCCCACGACATCATGCGCCGTCGCGGCCTGAATAAGTGCTACTCGCTAACAGCACTTGCCCCAACAGTCTGTTAAGGCTATATACGGTGGGGAGGGGGGGGGGGTCTTTGTCTTTGTACTTGCGAACAGCAAATGATTTGAGTCTACGAGGCTGGAGCTCTGTGTGCCTGTGCATATTTTAAAACAGCCGTATCAAAGAGCTGACGCGTGCGAGCGTAACTGCG